CCCACCATTTACTCTGTGCCAGTCACCCTCCTAAGCATTGAACAGCTGCTCACTTCCCCAGGCCTCGCAACCAGCTCAGCCTATTCCTTTATTGTGATTTTGTTTGATGGGTAAGTTATAGAGGCATAGAAAGGTTAGGTAATTTGTTCTGATTTATAGCACTAATGAACAGTGGAGTTAAATTTGGACCCAGGAAATCTGTGCTGTTCTGTCCAGAGACTTGGGGCTTTATGGAGAGTGGTGTGTGTGCCAGCAGGGTGGGCTCCAAATAGGTCAACATTGGTACAGGAAGCAGCCTTCTCTGTCAGTTCTGTGTCCTCTTTGTAACCCCATGTGATCATCATGATGCTACTTCTTCATGGCTGGGGTGGGTTTCAAGTGGCTAAACCCTCATCCCATACCTGAGTGTCTAGTTTGAGTCCCACCTCTTCTGCTTCTGATCCAGTTATGTGATGACATGACTCTGGGATGCAGCTGTGATGGCTCAAGGGGGTGAGTGCCGGTCATCCACCTGCATGATCTGGATGGAGCTCCAGGTTCCTGGCTTCAGCCTGGCTCAGACCTGGCTGTTGTCAGCATTTCTGGATTAAGCCTTTGGATGGAAGATCGCTGTCTATCTGTCTCTATGTGTCTCTGCCTCTCAAATGAAATGAAAATGCTTTTTTTTTTTTTAAGGGAAGTGTTTGTTGAAAGAATGTGAACAGTTATTCCACCATGAGACACTGTCCGTGGCCTTGGAGGCCACTGTCATCTGGGTGTTGCCTTTTTAAAATAACATTTTTCTTCCTTGACTATAACACTCACTTGCTATAGATAATTTGGAAAATACACAAACACACACCCATAATACAATTCATCCAGAAACCTGTCACCAAGGAAAAAAACGCTTTAAATTTTGTATCTTTTTTTTTTTCTGGATTGACATGGTATGTCAAATTATCTCTTCTTCACCAGATAGTCCATCTCACTGTCCTAGCATTTCATGAAGTAGTCCAATTCGTGTATCATAAGGAAAAAGACAGCCTCTTGGAATCTAAATAGTTTGTTTTTTGCACGAGGGAAAAAATACTGGATCATTTTATTGGAATCTTTTGAAGGGCTGATAGGCACGGGGCCCTATGAGTCCCATTTTATTTTCAGAGGGGCTCTGACAAAGTACCTGGGTAAAGATCTATAGACAGAGATGGGAATGGGCAGATAACACAGACAGTTCAAATTGTGTCCTCTGGATGAGGGAGCTGTTTTTTTTTTTTTTTTTCTTCCAGAGATTATCAAGAAACAATAGTTTTGCAAAAATGGGCACCACTATAGACAAAGCATAGAGAAAATTGTCCTTAGGAATGCTTTGGACTATTTGTACTTAACGCCAGGCAGAAAGCTCTCAATCGTGGGTGGCCTTGAACTCAGGTGGCAAAGAGCCAAGCAGTCAGGGCTAGATTACAAAGGAAAGCACTCAAGTCTATGTGCTTTACCTAGTAGACCCTGATCCACAAACACCAGAGCTGGCCTCGCCCTGAGGAGGAAATAACAAACAATATTCATCAAATGAAGGGTTCTGGCTACCCGCTTAAATTTGTTACTCTGAGTGTGTGGCTATTTGGTGGCAGCAAGCAAAACATTAGACAAACATTTTCTAATTATCCGTTGGTACCTAAAGCCTGAGAATAAGGGATCAGTGTTTGGTTGGCACAGCTTGCCAAGTTGCGAGTGGCCCTGGGGAAAACCCAATGGTAGCTCTGAGACTGAAGATGCCAAAGCCATAGGCATCACCAATATGAGGAGTCCACACCGGAGAGAAGGGGACCCGCATGGAAGCCTTGGATTGGGTTCCACGCTTGTGATTTCAGGCTGGCCTGTTTGTTGTGGGCTTTTGGGGAGAGAAAAGCAGTGGATAGGAGCTCTCTGTGTGTCTATATGCCTCTCTCCGTCTCACTGCATTTCAAACGAATAAGGTTAAAACTTTTAAAAGGGAAAATATTTAGATTTGAAATAATAATAATAATCCCAGTGATCCGTGGATGGGACTAGCCAGTCCTGTTAGGACAGGTGAAATGCAGCCCGCTTTTGTGTGTGGATTCCTTGCTGATACACATGTAGCTTACTGTCTCATTCTTGGCCACTCTAGTTAGCTTAGGTAGTAGGGCTGTCTAGCAATTGGAAGGGTTGCTTAGTCAGTCTGGACTCAACACCCTACATTCTGACCCAGACCATCCAGCAGGTGTGAGCCAGAGGTGCCGAGAAGGCCAGCTGTTGGAACTGAAGCACCCTTTCCATGTCTCTTTTCATGCTTTCTTCTCTATTTCTGTCCTCTGCTTCTTAACATTGCTTCTTGGGATTACCTCCCAAAGAAATTATTCATATTCAAATCAATGTCCGTGGGTGAATTTTGTAGTTTTAAACAAAGAAGAAAAGAAAAGAGCTTGCCAAGCTTCCCATCACCCTTGCAGTCAAGGTTTCCTTCTCCTAAAGGGGTGGGCTGGGGTCATCACTTCACAGTGATGGGCTTGGAGTCAACAGTGACCACCCCACTCACTAGGTGATGCAGTTTGGTGAAAAGCAGGGGTCAAGCTACGTGCAAAGATTGAGTCTGTTGTAGGGTGTAGAGATGTGACTTAGAGAAGTGTTATGAGAAAGGGAACAATACTAATGGAATAGTTCAAAAAGAAATTTGTCCCATGCAGCTGTAATATTCAACTCACAATAAATCTGTCAAGAATTCCTGTACTTGCTCTGACTTCCATGACTAAAGATCTCTTATGACCTCTATTGGCCTGCATTTCAAATAATCAAAAATTCACCAGTGAGTCAAGAATGGACTGTTTGGGTGCAGAATATAAATAACTGAATCAATTTTTCCACACAGAAATTTTGTGAAATGCCTTTTAATTCATATAATTCTGTGCATTTTTTATTTTGTCCTATAAGTAAGTCTTTGAGTTGTTGTCCTAGGCCTTTCTGATTTTCTGTATGGGACTTCTAAAGTCATAGATTGGAAACAGGAAATAGTATTTTGCCACAGACAAATCCAAATCGATAGGAACAACAACTGATGCAATGGTTCTGTGATTTTGAGGTCTTCAACTGTGGGACCAAACAAGTGAAATATAGACTCTAAACGTGAGACACAAATGTCACAGCAGATACTGCAGACTAGCCTGATCCAGCCTGCCAACAGCTCTGGCTTTAGTGTGCACTGACAGGTGCCGTTGACTAGTTGGGGTGACCTTAAAGACCCTCTACCATCCTTGCCCCAAACATGGCTCTCGTGAATGTTGGTGAGTGCTACAACCTAGCATGGCCTGGTATGCCCACATCCTCAGCTGTTACACACCCCAGTGGATAAATTGGCCTAGCCCAGGAAAACCTTCAAATTTCCCCATTCAATCTACCCCCTGTCCCAGCTCCCTTGATTACCTGCTGATGGAGTATCTTAGTCCATGGAAGCCCTCAGAAATCATTTTAAACATGTCAAACAAGTCCTCAATAGCTCGCATTCTGATATGTCCCCAGTTCCCTGACTCCATCTGATATGCATACGTGCCCTTCCCTGACCATGCCGCCATCAGGGTAGCAATTATAGTGGCATGATGGTCCTGGCCAGTGTGCTCTTACATTGAGGTTGTGGACACCCCACCCAACATCTTCTTAATTAAAAAAAAAATAAGTAACTATGCTGACACACAGGTATAGTTAACAAGGTTTGGCATTAACCAGGCTCAGGATGCTTTTCTCCCAGCATTGTAACACCTGCTTAGGTAAAAGGCAACCCAGGCAGTTGCTTATAGCTGAGGAACTTCAGTCCTTTTAAAAGACTTCGTAGAAGTTTCAGTGGAAAAGTTAAATGTGAAATCATCTTGAACTTAAAGTCCTGGTGAGAAAGTTGAATCTAATATTCTTTCCTCAGACTTGGTAAATGCACTTCAAAATCAACAAAGGAGACTGACTTGGCTTGACAATCAAGTGAATCCCAGGATACCTTGCTGGATCCCAGGGTACATGGCTGGGAGTTGACAGGACAGCTGAGCACTGAGGCACACAGCAGGTGGAGGAGAGTCAACTAACAGAAAGAACGTCACTCTGGACTCTGGCCACGCCTCTTCCTGCATGACCACGGAAATTCTTTACTTTCCAGGGCCTTAGTTGGACATGTCTGAACATGTACTCCCATAATCTGAATCCATGAACCATGGAGGGTGAAAAACAGAGATACAGGAAAGCCTAAAGCATAATAATCCCCTGTGCAAGGAGCCTCAAGTCCCACAAACTGATAAAAATGGACAGGGGTAAAATTGGATGGGATTCTTGGTAGGTGAAAGTATTTTTTTTTTTCAAGCATCTGTTTTCTTTTTATATTTTCTACAACGAATGTGTATCACTGTTATAATTTAAATGTTATGGGTGGGAAGAAAAGGGGTGGTGACTGGGGGGTTAACAGGGACTCAGGTACAGTGTGACAGGAAGACTAACTTCTAGTATTCCATAACACAGTAGAATGACTATGGTTGGCAATAATGAATTGCTTATCTCAGAATAGCTAGCACAGAAGATTCTGAATGCTGTATCACAATGAAATTGTAAGTGTTTTAGGTGATGGATATGCCAGTTACCTCAATCTGATAGTTATGCATTGCATACAACACACTATGCTTCATATGTGTCAGTTTTTCAGATTAGAAAAAACATTTATATGGGCAGGGGCAGATAGGGTTCACAATAAGGAAACAAGAAAGCAAAGGCCGGATGTAACCCTGGGAGTATGAAGAAGCACTCTGAAGCTACCTATCACATGCACCTACGTGTGGACCCTTACATGGGCCCACCTTCAGGAGCCTGAGAAGTCTGATGATCTCTTAGAGGGCCCATGCCTATCAGCTCATCTTCAGGTCTCAGCTTAGGGTGACAATTACACGGAGCCGCACTGTACTGTTTGTGTTGGCAGGGGCAGGCTGCCAGGTTGGCTGGGTTTCCTGCTGTGAGTGTCCTGTTGTGCTGTTTTTCAGCTCGCCCATGCTTTGTCGGGGAGTGGAGCACCTGGAGTGGCTGTGCAGACCAGTGCAAGCCAACCACCCGTGTGCGGACACGCTCGGTGCAGCAGGAGCCTCAGAACGGTGGGGCACCCTGCCCACCCCTGGAGGAGAGAGCCGGTTGCCTGGACTACTCCACATTGCAGGGCCGGGACTGTGGACAAGCCTTTGGTAATGGTATTTTCATGGTTGCTGCCTGTTATCTTTCATGGCCACTTCATCCTGCAAACAATCAGAGGCTAGGCAGGGAAAGTTCCATGCACTGCAGGGAGTGGGACAGGGGTTGCCCACAGTAGACAGGAAGCTCAGGACACACTTAAAAGGGAATTTATGGCCAGCTGCACACTTACCTCCCTTCCCTAGCTTTGCTCAGTGGACACAACCTATGCAACTTTTCATTGTGTATGGACTCAGTTGTGAAAGAAACCACGTGCACTGAATCCCATCAGACTGGTAGTCAGGACTTCCAACAGAGTGATGGTGCTGCTTGAAACATGAGACAGTGAGAGTCCAGTGCAGTCATTCTGTGACACTTCACACTATAGTTCTTGTTCACTTTGACTCACACATGGGGAAATGGGAGAGAAGTGCATTTCTAAGTAGTGTTGAAGTGCTTATTTTGAGACACCTGCCTTTGCTTGTCAAGGTGACTGGATTATGGCCAGTGTAATCAGACCCAGGATTTTAAAAGCTCATGCTAGGTGAGGGATGACCAACAGAGAGGCAAGAAGTCAGATCTTTAAAGAGCTAAGATCCAAACTAAGCTCACAAAAAATCAATTGGAAGGCTGTAGTGTTGATCAGGATCGAATCCCTTTGGGTGAAACACTGTCTTCACAGGATAGCCAAGACCGTGTGCTTCTCATAGGAAAGTGGAGAATCTCATGTGAACACAATCCTCAGCCAGCCAATTTGTTCCTCTTCTTATTCCATACACAAATATTTATTTGCTGGGTGGCTACTTGATGCCAGGCACCGACTGGGCTTATAAGGAGAAAAGCTGAGGCTACTGTTACCATGTGTATCATGGCTTAGTGTAGAAGGGTACAAGAATTAGGTGGTTCCATCAATCCACAGCCAGAGTAGCTGGTGCAACTGGCACTTTATGAGTGAGAGAAAGCTGGGAAAAACGAACAGAAATTCTCCACAGTCTTAAGGGAAGAAAGGGAGGGGGGTTCCCTGGAGATGATGCTGAGGTGTGAAGAGCTGACTGGCCAGATCACCTCATGTGGTTAGACTTGATGGTGGGTATCAAAGTGTGAAGTGTTTGGGGGTTGAACAAGGGAAAGAAGCTGTAATATAGCAAGCTTTCTCAGGCACAGCTTGGTCAGGGTGTCCCAAGAGGGGTGGTCTGCATGGCGTGAAGCAATCCAGAGCCCTGGGATGGGGTGAGCACCATCAGGAAGGTGAGGATGGTATGGGGGCTCTCAAGAGAGATAGGCCTGAGGGAGACAGTATGCCCCAGATGTCTAGGAGATGTCATGCAGCATGAAGATGTCACTCAGAATGAAGCCTCAGAGAATGCAGCAGAGCAGTGGCAGTGCGGGGTTTTAGGACCACAAGCCTCTGTCTTATCCTTCCTGCAGGTGCCAGGCAGAGCTGCATAAACAAGCCAACCAGACAGACTACAAACCTAAAGCCAGCAAGTAAAAATCTACTTGTTTGGATATTCTTTATACATGTTTTAAAAACATTTTAACTAACTTTCAGTTTCTGTGAATCTTTTCAAAGAGAAATCTTCCATCCATTGGTTTACTCCCCAGATGCTCACAATAGCTGGGGCTGGACCAAGGAGTCAGGGACTTCATCTGGGACTCCCACATGGGTAGCAGGGACCTCAGGACTTGAGCCATCACTGTTGTCTTCCAGGAAGCACGTTATGAGGAAGCTGAATCAAAGGAGAAGGGGCATGACTTGAACTACACACTCTGATATGGGATGCAGATGTCCAAAGCAGCAACTGAAGTTGCTGTTCTGTTGTTTAGCTATTTTTAAAACAATTGGATTTGTAAACATTTAAACGTGGAGCCAGCAAGATTTTGAGCTAATGGATCTCAGCCTGCAGAAAAGAGATGACCCAGGCACTGGCTTGGCTCATTTGTGCCGCACCATGGAGGCCTGAGGTGCATTTGAAAAGTCACAGGAAGGTTGGTGCAGGCATACTGTTCAGGCCTTTATTAGTAAAGCCTTAAAAACCCCATGCAGGGGCCAATGTCAACAAATCTTTGGCTTGAAATGATCACTATGGTAGTGGAGGAGCTGCCGGCAGAGGCAGAGAGGAGCCTGCCATGAACACAGTAACAGTGCTAGAGGCCCAGGGAAAGTATAGCTTTGAAAGCGGCCACTCAGAGGCATTATAGAACATCACAGCCACTCCACAGGGACTCCACACTGCAGAAAAGGTTCAGTGCTGTGGGACAGTAGTGATATTTTTTTAAAGCTAGAGTGCTGGGATCAGTAGCAGGGACTTGAACTCTGGGGCTTTGCTGCGGGATGCTGGCACTTCAGTCAGTGTCTGGACAACTGAGCCACTTGCCTGCCTCTATTTTGCTTTTCAATGCCACCATTACAGCTAAAATTGCAGAGACAGATTCTCAGAACAAATCTCAATATAAATTTCCTTGAAGCTAGTGAATAAAATATGATCACTGAAACTCACATATTTATGATCACAAAGTCACTATATTTTCATGTTGAAGTTAATGCATATAATTAAATTTTCTTATAAAACATTCAAGAAGGTGAATGATTTAATTGGGTGCACATGACTATATTTATGTGTATTTTATCCTTTCAGGGAGCTCTAGGTGTATTAGAAACTGTAGGCTTTGGGTGTATGTTATTTGTCAACTTTCCATTTATTTTCTTTTGAACCGTATCTACAGACCAATGAGTCTGAACCTGATTTTGTGGTACTTTATTGTGTTGGAGAGTATTATGAAATTCTCAAAGTAAATGAAGTGTACTTTCATGTTCAAAGTAAGTATGTGTGGTGCCATGCTCTTAGAGGTGGAAGTTGTTGCAAAACTGAACAATGGTAGGATGATGGAATTCCAGAAAAGCTGGCAAATAGCCTAAGAACAAAAAATATATTACATTTTAATACTGTTGCTGGGAAGGGGAAAGGGTGGTGACATTTATGGAACGACTTTGTCCCGTGTGCTTTCACATATAAGCAGAGGTGGGACTGACGGCAAACTAATTTCTAAATTATGGCCCACTGCTAAATGAGGGAAATTCATTTTATGGGGGAATATTAAAAAGTAGTGCTGGTTCGGAGAGCTGCAGGTGGTCCTACTCCTGTTCCACTCCCTGATGACTCAGGGCGAGGGAGAAGGAAGTCCTCGGGGTTGAATGTGTTCCCCTGGGGCTGGGGTGCCGCACAAAGAGAGACAAGGTCCCAGGAGACAGACTTGCTTGCAGGATGTGCTGGCACCATGGAAGGCTGAAGCTTAGCATGGAGAGTAAAGCTTCGAAAGCAGATCAGGTACATGTGCATGTGGCATGGCAAGCTTGAGATGCATGTACGCCACATTAGTGTCAGCTCCTCCCTCTGCCATCAGCAGCCCAGCTTCCTGCTGATGTGCAGCTTGGAAGGCAGCAGGCGATGGCTCAAGCTCTTGGGTCTCTGCCACCCAGGTGGGAGACCAGCATGGAGTTCCTGGCTCCTGATTGCAGCCTAGTCCAACCCTGGCTGTTGCAGGCATTCAGGGAGTGAAAAAGCAGAGAGATCTGCTTTGCTCTATCTGTCTCTGTCTCTCTGCCTTTCAAATAAAATGAAAATTAAAATATTAAAAAACATATCTTGAAAAAAATAGAAACACAAGCAGCCACACGTCATAGTGTGAGTCTGTGGGCATACTCCTTCACTCCCAGCAGCTCTCACGGCCCGAGGGGACTCAGGGAAGGAGGAGTTTAAAGTCACCCCTTTCCCTTCTCAAGTCTTATTTAGCCATATATTTCTAATTTCTTATTATTTGTAAAGAGACAGCAAGAGAGAGAGAGCTCATTTGCCAGATCACTGCCCCAATGCCTCCAGCAGCCAGGGTGGGACCAGACAGAAGCCAGGAGCATGGAACTGTTTTAGTCTCCCCTATGAGTGGCCTCCAAGGGTCGCATTAGAAGGGAGCTGGATTCCAGAGCAAAGCTAGACCTCAAATTCAGGTACTCCTATATGGGAAATGGAGTTCCCAAGTACTGACTCAACTACCGTGACAAATGCTGACATCTCATGAAGGGTAGAAGTTAGGGACGAGAAGGGAGAAGAGAAGCAGCATTTTAATAACTCATAGGAAATGTGCTGCATTGAAAGTAATGGAATTTTGTCATGTGCCTAATCACAGAGGCAAGGTACACACCTTGGCACCAAGGGGCCTGGTTTGGGAGACACAGCCTGGCTCAGATATATTTAGATGTGAAAATTAAATAAATTAACACATGAAAAAATGATTTATCGCTGTTCCTGGAAACCAAAAAATACATAATTGTTAGGTTATTATCATAACCTTGGGTTTTTCCCCCTAAGGATTTCATATCAACAACGATTGTCGTATACTTCTCTGCACCCTAGCCTCACTCATTTCCCGAGTTACACAGTAAGTGTCCCTGAACTTCTATAATAACATATGCACTAATGAGAAGATCACAGAAGTGCTTGGAGCTGAACGACCAGATCCTGAAATTTACATGGCCTGTGATGTCGTGTGGGCTTAGCAGTGGCTGTGTTCATGCTGTGAGGTAACTTGCATGTGTGTAGGAAGAAAAGAAATGAAATGGGTAAACAACTGAAAGCCTTAGATGTTTGTTTCTTTGCCAACTCTGAGAGAAACAGAGAAGGTGCCTCACTGGGACGTGCCTTCACTTGTTCTTTTTCATCCTGCCTGTGGATTTTAGGAATGCAAAAACTGTAGTCACATCTAGAAAGTGTGACATCCTGTCTTTGGAAAACAAGTCAGGGCAGCAGGAATGGGCAGCACACGCTGGGATTCTGGGGTTTACTCTGCATTTGGGCAATTTTCATACTGAAGAGATTAGGTACAAAACCACATAACACAAAAACTCTACCTGCGTCTTTTGTTGTAGTTTCCCTGGAAATTGAAAAGTGACTCCTCTCTAGGAGAAAATCTAACAAGAACTGAGGTCTGCTATTCTGGGGCAGGAAGGAGCCAGGAAAAATGCACAGGCAGGCTTGTCTCTGAGTTTCCTTCCACCATTTTGCTCATGTAGATGATGACTCTGGCGTTTGACAAGTCAGCACAGTTTGTCACCAACATTGCTGGGATCACCCAGAGTTAGGAAGGATGGCTGGGTGATCTCAGCCATCTGTACCAAAAGGGCCTGGGTGTTTCAGTAGCAAAGTCAGGACTTCTTTCATTCACTCATTGGCCCATTGATTCACGGTGGGTTTATGGACTTTCCAAGTGTGTGTGAAACCATGCCTTCCTCCAGATGACGACCAAGTGGAATCATGAGGTTACTCCACCAAGTGGAATCATGAGATTACTCCAGGTGCTGTGTTTGTACAGAAATGGGGTCTCTGTAGATTAAGTCATGCAACACGGATCAGACGAACAAAATCAGATAGCACAGGCAGGAGGCTCCACTTCTGTGAACCAGAGCTTCAGAAGGGGGAAATGACTTGGCGAAAAGAAGAGGGTGGAAAGAGAAGGGAGAGAAGGGATCCCCTGCCCATTCCATTTCTACGAGGTCCTGTGGAATGCTGGCTGGCCCTGGGCAGCCCACTGGGGCACTCTGTGCTGGGCAAAGCTTACATCTCTGTGCTTCCTTGTTTCTTGTGTTTTCTCTCTTTGCTCTTTTCTGTTCTCTTCTTTCCTTCCATCTCCTTCTCTCACTTTTGTGTTCCTTCCCTCTCATTTATATCTTCTCTTTCCTTTTTTGCTCCTTCTTTCAGCATTTCCTTTTTCTTCTCTATTTCTCTAGAATGATCTTTATTTGAAGATGTATTTCTTTTAATTGAAAGCTAGAGTTCCAGAAAAAATGAAAGACAGAAAGATCTTCCATCCACTGGTTCACTCCCCAAGTGGCCACGGTTGCCAGAGCTGAGCCAATCTGAAGCCAGGAGCCAGAATCTTCTTCCAGGTCTTCCACGTGGGTGCAGGGTCCTAAGGCTTTAAGCCATCCTCTACTGCTTTTCCAGGCCACAAACAGGGAGCTGGAAGGGAAGTGGAGCAGCCAGGACACAAACCAGAGCCTTTATGGGATCCTGGCACATGCAAAACAAGGATTTAGCTCCTGAGCCATTGCACCAGGCCTTCTTGCATTCTTTTTTTTTTTTTTTAATGTCTGTTCCCTTTCTCTTTATAATCTTTATGTCTTCACCTTTTTCCTTGTACCTGACTCCCAATCTCCTTATTTCCTCTTGATTTTTCTTCCTGTCCTCTTTCCTTTTTTTCCAGAGTTCTTATTATTTTTGCAAAATGTGTTTGCTGGGAGCCTGCAGCTCCCCCTTTTATCTCTACATAGGTATACCAGTCTTGACCAAATGTGTCTCGTCTTGGTCTTCTCCTTTGATTGGGAAAGGGAAACCTTTAGACAAATGTTATGCCAAGTTTGGGCAAGGTTTCTCTGGGAACTTGGGCTGCATGTGTTCAACATGATTCTCCCTTCTCTAGTCCCTGCCTTTATAACTACCTCTGCATTCAACAAGGAGAGGACGAGGCACGCTGCATCTCCACAATGGGCGACACGCACAGAGGATGCCGGGTAATTTGGTCTTTGCTTTTTTGTATGGTTAAGGCCTGTTGAAAGGTCAGCTTGGTCTGGTTGTTTTCTTCTGCTGTTTGTTCACTGACTTGGAGTAAAATATGACTTCACTGCACCAGCTGGGGAAGTGGCTTGCCTCACTGCTTCGCTCTGTGTCTCACTGAGCTCTGAGCTCTCAGAGGGAACAGGCTATATAAAAACCGGATAGTAGTATTTTATCATGTAACTTAACGGTGAGCCTTCTTAGTTGCCTCAATGGGACCACAGATTCCAGCACCATGTCAGCTCATTCACTCATAGACCCATTGATTCACGGTGGATTTTTCTTATTTGTTATGGAAACCTGTGGCACCCTTGAAGTCCACACTTTAGCTATCAGACAAAGGAGACCAGAACAGGCTGCTTATTCGCATACCCACACTGTCACGCTCCAACTACAGGATTTGGATAGGTTGTTCCACCTTAGCAATTTTCTTCTTTTTAAATTGTTAGTTGAAAGGGACAGTGACACACACAAACACACACAGAGAACACTTTTGTCTACTAGTTCACTCCTCAGATGACAGCAATGGGGAAGACTGGGCCAGGCAAAAGCCAGGTGCCTGAAACTCCACCCAGGTCTTCTATGTTGGTGAGGGGTGAAGTTCTTTGAGCACCTTCCACTGGGACGCTAGCAGATATTCTGACAGGGTATGCTGGCATCGTAGGTGGTGGTTTAACTCACTGCACCACAATGCAACAACTTTTTCCTTAAGATTAATTTTAAAATCTAACACATGGACTTGGTGTGAGCATTTTAGTGGGTAAATAGCATTGAAGACATGTCAGGGTTACTTTATCTTATGGAAGTTGATTGAAATGAGTTACAGAACTTCCTACCTCAAACAACTAAAAGGTCCGAGTAGCCTTCTCCCTAATCAATAATGCCTGTCATAGTTAAAGATCTTTGATCTCCCAACACTTTTCATTGAACTTATTAGAAGCAGTAAGTCCAGAGAAAGAAATTAACTCACAGAGGTGAAGATGGAGCAAGTCTCATCTACAACACTCAAGGGTTTCTGCTAAATGTCATTTCCCTGAAGAACTGGAGAATTGTGTGGCCTTTAAGTGTAAGACTTCAAAATATTTAGCTACGTCTGGTGGACTCCCTGGGGTCCTGAGGGTAGTCACACATAATGCTAGTGCTGGCCACTGCACAGTAGAAGGGGCTAATAAATTCTAGCATAAAGAAATATGATTCAGCCCCCTGCCCCACCCTGCCCCAGTTCCCGTTTCTTTCATTTGTTATGCCCAATAAAACTTTGATGTTGTCTTCAAGTCAGAACTCATCACGCAGCCCAGGATTGTGCAGGAGGACTGAGTGAGGAGTGCAGGGAGCTTGGAGCTTTGGAGCTTGGAGCTTTGGTGGGGCAGAGTGCACACGTGCCTGCTGGGCTGTGAAGAACAAGGCCTTCTGGGTTCTTTCTTTAAAGGGTCTTAGGCTTCTCTGTGTGCTTTTTTTTTTTCCATTCTTCAAACTATCAGTAAAAATTTTAAGGGTTGTTAGTCTAATAGAATATGTGTTTTTATACACAGTTTAGTGACCAGATTGGAATGTTGTAGCATATCAAAATTCTGTAAATTGATGTGGACCAGATGGTTTAGTCATGGATTGAGAAAGAGTGAAGAGGTTCCCTGTGGCTGGCACACCCAAGTTCAGCCTCTGAGAAGAGTGAAAGACACCTGTGACTCCTTGTCCCTTGTGAAGAGGAAGCTCCTGGGAGATGGCAAGTTTCCTAAGACTACATGTCAGGCCACCCCTCATCACAGCAGGTGAAATGATTCCTTTGTTGCTCCAGATACTGTATGGAGTTCAAGACAGAGTCCTTGACCCCTCACTGTGCTCTGGAAAACCGGCCCCTGACGCGCTGGATGCAGTACCTCCGGGAGGGATACACGGTGTGTGTGGACTGCCAGCCTCCGGCTATGGATGCCGTGAGCCTACGTTGTTCTGGAGATGGCCTCGACTCGGATGGGTGAGAGAACCTGCTTGAAGGATTTCTCTTATTTTCCAAAACCTTTAATCATCCTGTAGTTGGGCCCTGGCCCTGGACATCTTATCAGTTAAATCTGGTAACACTATTCCTAAGGGAAGAGCTAGGCAGCTCCTGCAGAAAGTCCAGTTAAGGTCACATGTGGATTATGGTCTTAAGTATATCAGTGCAACTGGTGAAAATACAGATTAAATAATAAGATATTGACCTTTCCAGTTAATAATTTTTCTTGCAGTATATTTTAATATTTAATAACTTGAATTTATATATATTATTCCCTAATATAGGCCTCCTTGGAGTATACCATATGGACAATAAAATGGATAAGGAATTCATATCAAATAGAAACTCAATATTTAGATTTAATGTTTTTTTGAATACTCCATCTAAAGTCTGACATTAAATGAATTTATAATTTAATTTGTACTCATAAAAAATATTCAAACCCTGGCTAAGGTACCGGTGTCTTTAACAATCTAAATTTGGCAACGTGGCCTTGCTGTTTCTACTTCTCTGATTTTTTTTTTTATTATTATGGAATCAAAGAGTTGGAAGGGACTAAAAGAGATTACTTGGTTCAGACCTTTTAAATTACATAAATATGCATGAAATAACAAACCATTTTAAAAATACAGCACTTATATTTTCAGATTGAGTAGGAGAAAGGAATGAGGTGGTTCCAGATTACCACTCTCTGAGCATGAGGTTGTCCTCAAACAGGAATTAACTGTTAACTTGGCCTTAAAAATCATTTATTTATTCTTATTGGAAAAAGAGATTTACAGAGATAGTAGAGACAGAGAAAGATCTATCATCTGTTGGTTCACTTCCCAAATGGCTGCAATAGCCTGAGTTGAGCAGATCCAAAACTGGCAGCCTAGAATCTCCTTGGGGTCTCTCACACACAGATACAGGATCCCAAGGCTTTGAGCCATCTTCTGCTGCTTTCCCAGGTCACAAGCAGGGATCTGGATGCGAAGGGAAGCAGGTGGGACATGGACCAACACCCATATAGGATCCTGGCACTTGCAGGTGGAAGAATAGCCAATTGGGTCATGCTGACCCTGGGTGATTTGGCACTGACAGAACTTAAAGAAGAAAACTCCATTTGTGACCATTACAATTTTTCTAAATATGCAATACACTTTAAAATTCTGAGTGATTGGTATTTTGTTTGTTTTTTAAGGAAACACTTCAATAATTCTGTGAGTTAGGATTCTCTGTGGTTTGTTTTCAGTGTCACTAACATTGCCAAAATGTTGTTTCAGAAATCAGACTCTCCACTGGCAAGCAATTGGCAATCCTCGATGTCAAGGAACATGGAAAAAAGTCCGGCGAGTAGCCCACTGTAATTGTCCAGCTGTTCACAGTTTTATTTTTATTTAGGTTGTGATAAAAAAATACTCTAAAACGTGTTTGGAAACATGCTAAACACTGTCATTGTTCAATATCATGGTCAAGACTTGATAAAACCTCAAAAGCGGTTTAGCTGACTTCTCTGAAGTCAGACAAGGAAAACTGAGGCACCAGTTCTCAAGGAATGCTGTGCCTTCACTGTTGTTTTTTTCCTTATGCTGACAACTCACTAAAACTCCTGTGCTTTTTCATTCTTGGTCTTCCATCCAGTCACACACTACATGTTGGTCTGCACCAGAGCTGGTGAGGAGGTTTTCCTGTAGGTGTGTCCATGCTTTGAACATTCTAGCCCCTCTTTCTACTTTGTAATCTCTTCATAGCTTCTCACCTTTCATATGCTCTCACATGTACGTTTTCTATAGATGATCCATACATTTTGAAAGAATAATTTCAAGCAAATTATCACAAATAATTTCCCACAAGGCATGCTGTTTGACATTTCAGTAAGCATTTGGAAATGTAAAATCAACAGCTGTGTAAGAAATATTTTTCTGAAGATGAAATGAAATGGTCTTTTGTTAATTGAAAAGATCAAACACTCATTCTACATCAAAAGAAGCTCCTTCAAAGGCGTAAAGAAAAACGTTGATAGCAGAAGAAACAGTTGTTTTAACTATGAAAATTCTGTCCTCATTCACATCTAAGACTATTTTTCTTAGATTTAAAGCCTGAAGCTGAATAAAATAATCTCCGAGTCCAAGTTTAAGTTTAGCTGAAGTATGCTTCCTGTTCTCCCACAGCACCTGCTTTTAAAGCTTGGAGTGGAAAGCAGAGGTAGAGATGACCGCAGTTGTGGGTTTTATGACAAATCTCACCATGTCATACACACAAATATACTCCTTATTTTCTAGTTGAAAAATCAATAAACTAGAAATGAAGTGGCACATTTAGGGACCTGAGATGGCAAAACTTTCTGCAAGTCAGCTGTCACAGCTAACCCAGGCTCCTAATTCAGGACTGAGTTTCAGTGATAAGAACTTTGCCCAGGCCCGTGCTGTCAAAGCCACGCCCATGTCATTTTGTAAGCACATTTTCAATTTGGGGTATTTGCTTTGGGGAATTGAGTATTGAGACTTGAACAACATGAAACTCCACTCATTTGTTTCAATTGTATATCATGATATTCACTAACAATTTACTAAAATACCTATCATATGGAATGACAGAGCGACATTGTACTTATAAGGATGGAAGAGTTTTCAGTACTTAACACTTCAAGTGGCAATATTTCATTGCTTTAATTGCTAGAGTTGTTTTTGTGAAAATTAAAATTCTTAAAAAATTCAAGCATTTCATTCTCATCAAGGCTAGCAACTTCAAGTTCAGCATTAACATTTTAAAGCAAGATTTTTGAACATATCTCTGGGTAATTTTGAATATTAGTTTTTATATCAATAAATAAACTTTCTGTTCACAATTATTAAAGCTCTTTAACTTTTTGACTAGAAAATTACCCACATTTTTTTCCCCACTAGTCAGAGAATAAATAAATTTTCCCCAAAAGTAAGCAGAAGGTTTTTCAGAATTGATAGGTAATGCAACGGTGGTTATGAACAGCAGTAAACCTATGATGTGTTTATGGTTCCAACATGTGTTACAATAACTGAATTATATAAAATTAAGTTTTCATGGGCACTAATTGCTTTCACACTGAACCTGTGTTTTTGTTATTTCTATTCTTGAGAATATTTCATAGGCTAGAACACAGTTAAATAATGATTTTGAAAAGCTTGCTATTAAATCTAACAACAAGGAAAAAGTTCAGAACTGAAATATGTAGTCCAAGTGATTAATGATAACCAAAAGTTTTTACTTCTAAAGTTAAGGATCAAAGTTGTTAAGAGCTCTTGGCATGCTTTTTTAATGAGTACCTAGTGCGAGGGTCCTTTCCCCGGGCACTTTACGGTGATTTACGAGCTCTAGAATAACTTATTAGACTGATTTTCAAAAAGCATGTGCAAAGTCATTGGAACTAAAATAAATATACCTACCAGGAGAGAAAGCAAAATGTAATAAGTGTAATGATCATTTAGAAGAGAAATGTGGAGGAAAAATAAGGGTAGAAAAAGGAGCAAGGTGAGATTTAAACACACTATTTTGTGTCCTGGCTCAAGTTTTTCTTAGAAAATGCTGTAATTCAGTGTAGACAGCATTCATTCAAGAGTTTGATTTTCTTCTGACATAAAAATTTTAGTTAGCCATCTTTCCTAAATATGCAAAAAAAATACCATCAAAATAATTGGGTCTCTCCCCTTTAGGAGTTTCCCAGAGAAGGTTCACACAAAAGTCGGTCTGGAAAGCAAGAACCTCGGCATGCTGAGGTATAAGCAATCAGACCACGAAGAAACTGAAATTTCAGGTCAAGGTGACAGATTCACATATTTACTTCGTCTCCTTCCTAAAAATCTCATCGAGCGTATAGGATTCCCCCCAAGACTAAGCCTACAGCATAGATGAGAAGTGGATGGACAGGATCAGCCAAGATTTTGAAGAATTGCATTTGATTTAGTTATGTTAAAATTGAAATGAGTTTTTCTTGATGCGTCAAGTTGGCATGGTTGGTCGTGTTGAGGAGAATGTGGAAGCAGGGCTGAAAGCCATTCTTCCTGAGATGGAGCATCAAATACAGGCAGTAAAACCATCCCCTTCCCTGGAGACACATCTGTGAAATTTACACCGATGATAAAGACCGTACATTGACTTATCACACATTGTACCCCATAAATGCATGCATTTACAGTCACAAGACCACAAGCATCTTTCAGGGAGAGAAAAACAGGTCTCTATAACAGAGAAGGAGAGTCTGTGAAAAGATGAGGGCAATAATCTATCTTTTCAGTATCAGTGGATGCTTGAAATCTAATATGTAATAAAAAAAGCCTACAAGTTCAGAGGGAAAGTAAATTTGAAACTGTGATTTGCTATCAGTCATTTGCTAATAAATAGGAAGCTAAAATACAGACTCTCGCAGGTACATTTTCATGGAAAGGCAGATTTACAGAGAGAATTGGAGAGAGAAAGATCTTCCATCTGCTGGTTCACTCCCCAAGTGGCCACAATGGCTTGGAGCCAGGAGCTTCTTTTGAATCTCCCATGTGGGTGCAGGCTCCCAAGGCTTTGGGCCATTTTCTACAAGGCTTTGGGCCACAAACAGGAAGCTGGAAGGGAAGTGGAACAACTGGAACATGAATCAGTGCCCATATAGGATCCTGAAGCATTCAAGTTAAGGATTTAGCTACTAGGCTATGGTACCAGACCCAAATACAGCTCTAAATGTATCATGTTTTATCATGATCCAGTACATTCTGGGATCTAATAAGTGTGAAGAACACAGGTTTGACCCACTTCTTACTTAAAATTCCAAATTCACAACCTGGAACGCTTTCCTGGAAATCACTCATCATAGAATCCCTTTGAGTAACAGGTTACCAAAGTTGCTGCAGTTATTTCAACCACTTGATGTTGTAGGTATAACTTGATTGATGTCACTGTTGACTCATGATAGCCAACAACATGGGGGGAAAAGCATTTTCTGAAAAAGGGAAAACATACCCTTCTGTGAGAAATTTTGAAAGCTTTATTTTCAGGGATTTCCGTATATCCTGGGATTTAGGTACGTCTGTAGAGTTTTCTGATATTGAAATCCTGATCTGGTATTTCTACAAAGATTATTCAATTTTATTTGAAAGGTGGAGAGATAATCATGCATCTACTGGTTCACTCCTCAGATGCCTGCAACATTCCAAGGTGGGCCAGGGTAAAGGCAGAAATCTGGAGCCCAATCCAGACCTCCTTATGGGTGGCAGAAATCTATCACCTGCTACCCCCTGGGTGCATGTCAGTAGGGCCCTGGAAGGGACGGAGACAGGGCCTTTCTCAGGCAATTCTGATACAGGTCGTGGGTGTCTCAAGCAGTGTCCTGCACTGTGGTGCTAAACATCCACCCCATGACTTGACTTTTTTCTAATGAGAACTCCAACTGTATGGAATAAAGGGCAAGATAATTTTATCTGAATAATGAAAACTTTTCATTGTGAAGTATTGCTGATACTTCTTTGCCTATTTAGTTTTCAGCAAGTGGAAATAACAAGCCTCATTCCTTATCTATGAGATGTAATTAATAATGCCATTCCATTCATCATAGTTTCGCAAGAATTAAATGAGATAATCTATGCAAAGCAAAACACTACATAACTTTATTAAGGCTAATACAGATGTGAGCACCTGAAAGACTTGAGTGAAAAGAAAACTCTAAATAATTATCTACTTTAAAATAATATGAAAAAGCTGGAAAATTATTCCTTAAGCACTGTAGATCATCTAAACCATTTCTTGTGTCAGATTATCTCATAGCTTTGTCCTTTCAACACAGTATAGTTTTAAATGAAAACTTGCTTTGATATGGAAGAATTTTGACATACGAAAGTGCCACACGTAGGGAAGAGATTGGTTGGAAAACTCCAAGCATGCTCTACATTAGTTATCAATTTGCTCTCAGTGCCAAATTTATCCTCCTTTGCCCAGTATTATGAGAGTTGGACACCAGAGCCCGAGTATAAACATGCCTTCACATGAAAATGTTAAGACCTCATCACCAGGAAGCTGTGGAGTGACTGCTTTTGGTTCTCTTCCTCTCCCATTAGGCATATGGTGAGGCACAGCCATGCTCAGGTTGTCCTTATGATACTCCATCCTCCAGCAATGATGAGCTGCTTTTCCACCCCAGTACAATCTGACACTCTAACCAGCAGGCTGTTCTGGCGTGAGGCAGGAACAGCTCCACTGCTCCTTCACTGGCTTCTATGCCACATCAAGGGCACAGAAGTCAAAGCCTCAGGCCAGACTGAGGTAGGGGATTCAGCTGGGATAATAAGACTTGTTCTACAGCAAGACTGAGTTCAAAAGCGTGCCGTCTGCCCACAGTACTGTGAGAGCATTGGACTGACCAAACTAAGGGGCAGTGCTGACAGCTATGCTGTGGATTTGTGGTCTAAATCCTCACCATCAGGCTGGCTTTGGAAACCCAAACTGTTAGCTTAAAAGGGATTCTAGTCTTGGTGATAATCAAGTCTGGAGGAGAACAAGAGAAAATTTCCCAGACTCAGGACTTAACTTCCTGCCATAACAAAAGTCAGTATACTTTGTAGAAAGTCCAGAATTCAACAGCAAGGGTCAGCAGACTAGTTGTAGGTTATATCTAGCTTGATAATTGTTTTTGAAAATGTTATTGGAACATAGCCATTCCCACTCAATTATGTACTGTCTATGGCTGAAGCCAATGGAAGCATTCAGAGATGATGGCCTACAAGGGCTAAAACAATTACTACCTGCACCTTTAAGTCAAAGTTTATGGGATCCCTTGGCGTTGACAAATAACAAGCCCTGAAGGCCTGAACTTGGGTGTACTTTTTTTTTTTCCTTTCTGTTCTTGTGGTTTTGTTTTTGCTTCATTCTTTTTTTTTTTTTTTTGCTTTTATCTCTCATTATTGTTCCTGGGTTCTCTGAATAATTAATATTCCATTCTAATCTATCTAGTGGCCACATATCTGTATTTTCAAGGAAATGGCTGTTCTTAGAGATCCTTTAACTTTCCATGGTTTATTTTTAAGAGCTAACATTATTCCCAGTGTTGTACTTCAATTAATGTAGTGTTAGCAGCCATGAAATGAAAACTCTGAGACTGAATATACAGACAATGGGTGGGCCCCTGTGAAAACAGAACCAGAGTCCGTAATCTCTATAGCCATCAGTGCTGGCAGCCAAACCACAGTGCAATGATCCACTTAGAGCGGTCAGGACTTGGTCACTGCCAGCCAGCCTCCTCATGCTTGGCTCTCACTTCTGATTCAAATCCGATTGCTTCCCTGAACAATCACGCAAGATGCTCGCAGCTCACTGCTCAGCCTCCAGCTTCCTCATGCCACCAACTAGAGCGTGTCTGAAGTTTCCCATTTCCACCACCACCAAAAGCCACACAGCCTTTGAATCTCTGCCAAGCACAGATGACTGTGGCTGACTCCTTAGCTATATAGCAAGCTCTGATTAAGTCCACTCTCACTCTTGGATGGTCTTCATTTTATTTTCACAACTCAATTGCTCACCAATAGCATGATGAATACAATGTATCTATATAATGGATTAGAGTGCAGAAATGACAATGAACAAGCTATAGTTACAATTTGAATTATACATATTGGGGAAAAAGGATTACATTCAGCATTTTATTTCTGTAAATATCCATCCATTCATCCAAAAAAAAAAAAAAGCAAAACAAAACATACAAGGCACCTTGCACACTTTGCAGATGGGCTTAAACTGGGACATTCCTTCAGTAGCTTTTGCTTCCTGCTTATGTTGAGATTAGCTAACTGGGCACAGCTCGTCCTCTCAGGTCTTTTCTGGAAATATATCTAGTCCTGGGCATGCGAATGATGCTCCATTTTCTCTGGTATTCATCAGAACTCTAACTCTTGCACATACTTCCCTTATCAGTCTCTCCTTCCTAGGCTTTTTGTTCTATTTGCTGTTGTCCCTGGCCTCAAGATATTTTTGACAAGCACTACCTTATGAAATTGGTCCAGACTGGAGGGAACCACCACCGGACACGACAAAACACAAGCACATTTCTGTGAGAACAAAGTGTGTGTTCCTCTTCCTGGCACCATCGAGCTGCACCAGGAGGACCCGCCACAGCCCCTGCTACTTCCTTTGGAGCTGAGGACTGGGGCAAATTGCAGGTGGATAAGCAGAAACACTGGACGTTTCACCGAAATTTACATCTTTCCTATGTTAAGACTAGCTTGACTATCAGCTTTCGTTGGATACTGGAGTTCCCAAAAGTTGATTCAAGCCTTTGCCACTCTCCATTGGAGGGGAGGATCTTTACAGATCTCTAGTCGACATTTCAGATTTAACTCTCTAAACAGTAAACATTAAATTTTATAAAGAGAACTAAATCAGTGTTTACCAGGGAGTATAGGAAACTTGCAGAAGGGAAGGGATTATGAATATAAAATAGCAACATGAAGGGTTTGTCTGTTGTGGAGTTACTCCCTATCTTGCCTCTGCTACTGGACACATTGAGCATAAGGGATAAAACTGCTTACAACAAATACACATAAATCACACAATCGGGGAAATCAGAATAAAGCATGGATTATACTAATATCCTAGTAGAGACAAAGAGGAAAAAAATGCAAGTAGAGCCAATGTTTTCTTTTTTTATTAGAAAGTCAGATATATAGAGACACAGACAGACAGGAAGATCTTCCATCCGTTGGTTCACTTCCCAAGCGGCCGCAATGGCCGGAGTCCAGCCGATCCAAAGCCAGGAAGCCCGGAGCTTCTTCCAGGTCTTCCACATGGGAGCAGGGCCATCCTCTACTATTTTCCCAGGCCACAAGCAGGGCTGCTGGGATTAGAACTGGTGCCCATAAGGGGTCCTGGCGTGTACAAGGCAAGGACTTTAGCCACTACCGCACCAGGCCTGCCAACGTTTATTTTTAAAACTGTATGTCAATCTATAATTCTCTAAGATTTACAATTGAAAAAATAATTCGGAGGATTCTGACTGGAGAGGAGTATTAAGATTACACAGTATGGAAATCAAGTTATATTTTTATGTATCCACATGTAATATAAAAATCTTGTTTAAAATAGCCTTTATTAAATAAAATGAAGTTTTAAATAATACACAGTAGTACAACTTAAATGATAGTAATTCTTCCTTTCTAGTGCTTGAAAAAATAACCAATTATAAACTTAGGCTTGATGACTTGAGGTGTACTTTGGAATGAGAATGATTTAAAAGTCCATTTTGACTCACAATGTTAGCTCTGGCACTAATTATCAAATGTTTGCAAAAACACAGACGGTACCTTGTGGTACTGTCAGGCAGGACAGTCAGAAAACACACGGTAGTTATCTATGCCTTTTATTTCATTCAGAATCATTTATTGGAAAAGCAAAGTGACAGAGAAAACGAGAGACAAAGTTATTGTATCAGCTGGCTCACTTCCCAAATGAAGCCAACAGCTGGGACTCAGCAAGGCGCAAGCCAGGAGCCAAGAACTCACTCTGGATCTTCCGCATAGGTGGCAGGGGCTCAAGAACTTAAGTCAGCACCTGCTGTTTCTCAGGTGCCTTAGCAGGGAAGCTAGATCAAAGGTGGAGCAGCTGGCACTTGAACCAGCACTGATACAGGACACCAGCATCCCAAAAGGAAGCAATGGTCAATTACCAATGTTTCTGTTTGCTATATAAATAGAACATAAATTCAAGGAATAATTAAAGTCTTAGTGCATAAAACTTTAGTAAGATTGAAACAGATTATAAAACACTAACATTTGATTTTTATGCAAATTTCAATATTTTCTCACCAAATAAAGCACATATCTTAAAATTCTCATTACGCATTTCAAATAAATACTTTTAATGTAATTAGGTTGTTTTAGTGATAAAACTTGAGATCTGTGCTTACTTTCCATGAATTTAATGGATATTCCTCATTTATTACTGATATCAAGGTGATTGTGGATAATATGAATTTCAACACTTACAGGCTACTATTTAGGCACAATACTGACATATTAAAGCATCAGAGAACCTGATATTTATGGTATCAAGTTATCAAAAGTTTAGTTAAAGTTTAACACTGGCACAAAAGTCTCATTTGTTGTCAATCTACCTTTCCCACACACATGGCAGAGAGCCAGGTACTTAATGTCATTTGCTGCCTGCCATCATGCACATCAAGAGGCTGGAACAAGCAGCAGAGCCAGGCCTCAACTCCAGGCACTCCAACATGTGATATGGGTGTCCCAAGAGCTAGCTTAACTACTGCACCAAGTGCTGGCCTTAAGTCTGCTGTTTTGTTTATATAAATCTTATAAAAAGAAAATTTAGTTTGTTGTTTTTTTTAAAAAACATTTTTATTACAAAGTCAGATATACAGAGAGGAGGAGAGACAGAGAGGAAGATCCTCCATCCGTTGATTCACTCTCCAAGTGACCGCAATGGCTGGTACTGCACAGATCCGAAGCCAGGAACCAGGAACTTCTTCCCTGTCTCCCACGCTGGTGCAAGGTCCCAAAGCTTTGGGCTGTCCTTGACCGCCTTCCCAGGCCACAAGCAGGGAACTAGATGGGAAGTGGAGCTGCTGGGATTAGAACCGGTGCCCATATGGGATCCCAGCGGGTTCAAGGCGAGGACTTTAGCCGCTAGGCCACAGCGTAGTTTGTTGGTTTTTATGGTTTACTTTGTATGTCATAATTGCAACTTTGTATGTCATAACTGCACTAACGCCTTATAGTTATTTAGTTGTATATTGAGGCCAAAAGCAAATCATTATCTCATGTTAGAATATTAAAGAATTACAAAACACATTTCTATTTTTCTACATGTTTTCTTTTTCATTACTTATATTTCACCTACTTGAAAGACAGAATGGCAGAATGACACTAGAGACAGAGTGCAAGAGTGAATGAGCCTGAGCTACAGAGAACTTCCAATTAACTAGCTAATTGTCGAAATAACTCTAATAGCCAGAACTACTCAGAAGCCTGGAACTCAATCTGGGTTTCTTTCATAAGTGGAAGGGACCTGAAGACTTAAGCTATCACCTGTTGTCACTCAGGTTCCATGTTAAGAGGGAGGCAGAATCAGGAGTGGAGGCAGGGCCTGGGCATGATTCAGCTCATGTAAGTTCCATATTAACTGCTGTGGTTTATTTCTTTGTTGTTTCTTGAAGGGGTGAAGTCAGGCTACAGATATAGAATTATTTTTTCTGTTTTTCAGATCTTAATTTTTATTTAAATAGAACTTAGGGGATGGATATTGAATGGGGCAAGGGCCAACAAATTTATATCTTATGATAATAAAAAGATTAAGGAATACAGTGATAGCATTTATGGCACACATATTCAGATTTTTACAGAAAAATAATGCTCTAAACAAAAAATTCTTAAGACCAGAAATTGTCAAACAAAATGTAGTGCTCAAAATACAGTCCTTTCATCAACTTTTACAGATATGTTCAGTCTTCACTATCTGAGCAAATCATTTTCAGTTTCTTCATAGTCCTCCATCTGTCTTTCAGCATGACACTTGTTCTGTTGTTGAATTTATAATGTAACAGTATTTTAGTCCAGCTTCCCTCTCCGTATTTCTTCACACCAGATTTCAAATTCTTGTCTTCTTCCCAAAGCCATGCCTTTTGATAAAACAAATAGTCACTCAGAGAAAACAATTAAGGACATATCCACTAACAAGCACAGCTATTTTTTATTAAAATGATGGCTAAAATTGAAGAAAAAGTTTAAGAATGAAGGCAGAATTTCCCTATACATTTCTTACTCTTTAAGATTTCACCTGTTAGAATATCATGGGTCGATACTGTTATTCAGTTTATATATATATTCTACAAATTTTTAGTACATTTTTATTAACTGATACAAACTGAGAAAAATGTAAATTTTGTGTATGTGTAACTGACTCAAAGTACTTCAACAATCTTTAAGAATGTCACAAGTTATGATCTCATGTCAGAAAATTGTAGGTATGTAAAAATTTCCACAAAAATTTGGAGACCACTTCAATTCCCCTTAAAACGTGTATCAATTCCATGGTCCTCAAGTTAAGAGATTCTGTTGTTTTCAGAGTCAGGTTTAGTACACTTGAAAAGCAGTCTTTATAACAAATTTGATACACATATGCAGAATTTTTTTTATTTCTAATTGAGCGGTAGTTGCTTCTAATAGACTACAGATGAAATACAATACAGTATCTTTTCTCTTTGGAAATGCTCAATTCTCTGCTCAAATCCCAAGTAGGTTACTGCTGATTCCTAAGTAGGTTGTTACTTGATAAGATTAAGTTTACCATTACTTTCAAGTTGATCTCCTCCAGCAGGGGTCAGCAATCTTATTCCAAAATATAATGGAGGCTATTTTACTACATTCCAGAAGCTTAGAATTGTTTTTATAACTTTACAAGTCAAATTGAAAAAAATAAAAAGGATATATAAAATGTAAAAGAAACTATATATGTATCACAAATATTCACAATCTGTTCTACGAAGTGTACATACCCTGAACGCTAAAGAAAGTTGTAATTTTGCTAGTAAAGATCAACTGAACTACCATAGTGCTAAAGTAATTCATATATTATTTTAATTTTTCAAAAGGCAGATTTGCAGCAAGGGATGAATGGAGCAAGAGGGATGGTGGAAGGATAGAAGGATGGAGGAGGGAAGGAGGTAGGGAGAAAAGAAAGGAGGAAGAGAGAGGGACAGAGAGGAGGGATGGAAGGAGAGACAGACAGACACAAAAAGTTCTTCCATCCATTGGTTCAGTCTCCAAATGGCCACAACAGCTGAGGCTGGGTCTCCCTCATGGGTTCAGGGGCCCATGGACTTGTTCCATCTTCCACTGCTTTCCCATGCACATTAACAGGCAGCTGGATCAAAGTGGAGCAGCCAGGACATGAACTTGAACCTATAAGTAATATTTGCACTGCAGGTGGAGGCTTAATGTAGTATGCCAGGCCACTGGCTCCACATTTTATCTTCTAATAAAAAACAGATCTTGAGTTGATATATTGTTATTTAATGGTTGGTCACAACATGTTTCTTTTGTTTCATTTAAGTATTTTCAGCCTTTGCTTAATTTCACCCAGGCTTCAAAACATCCATGCAGAACAAGTATCATATGATAAGGAAAATTATAATCTAAAAAGTTTGAAGCCGAAAAAAGCGTGAAAGTCACTGGTACCAACTTCTACTTCAATAGATGAAATTGAGTGAGTAGTAATAACTGGCTTATCAGTGTCACATCAAAAAGAAAATTTGTCAATTCCTGTCCTTAAAACTTTTTCATTTATCTGATATACTGAATTCTGAATTCCATTAGTTACAACACATAGCCAAGAAAGGGGCAGCAAAATCATTTTTACAAATGCAGAGAAGCTGCAGCTCCTGTACTTGATAGCTAAGGCTGGGGGCAGGCCAGGTCAAGCTAGGCTACAGCCCCTGTTGGGACACATGTGAGCCAGGGAGATCTAGGGAAGGCCAGGTAGTCAGTCCTCACCACACTCTGGCATGATCAAGAGCCAACATGCGGTTCAAGCCAGGCTGGGTTGGGCCACAACACTAGCCAGTTCACATGAGGGCTGCATATGGGTCAGGCTGGCACTGGGCACATGTTAACTGACCAGATATTAGCACCTGCTGGCAAATGCGGAGACTGAGGGATGGTCACCTCAGACTTGGTGGCATGTGCAACACATGAGACTGGGAACAGGCATAATAAATTTCTGGGACTTTCTTGCTAGACTGCTGCTTCCACTAGTGAACATGAGAACTGGACCAGAGGTAGGCTAGTCTGGGACTGAGTGCAAGTTGTATCAGGCTGGACCACAGTACTGATGGGTGGGGCAAGATCTGAGGCTGCGAGCTGGCCAGGTAGGGAATTTGTGGGCACTCCCCTGTTGGGAACAGCTCTTGCTGGTAAACATGAGAATCAGGGCTGGGAGTGGGGCCAGGCTGGTTAAAGCAGCAACACTCATACGTATATATGTAGGTTGGGTTTTGGGGACAGGTAGCACCAAGTTAAACTGCAACACCCATGGGTGTGCATGAAAACCAGATGGGATGCAGGACAGACTGGGCTAGGTCACAACACATGAAAACTAGGGCTGGAGGATTATTTGGGGCTGTCCTGACTAGGTCGTGGCATCCACTGACGTGCACAACAACCAAGCCTTTGGCAGGCTGTGCTAGGTGAGGCTGTGGCACCCATCAGTTCATGTGAGGCTAGGGCTGCGGTGGAGGTTACCAGGCAGATGCATCCACTGGTATGCATTGGCGGGTGCAGATAGACTGCACGTGACCTTGCACTGACTGCCATACACAAAACTCAAGTCTAAGGTCACTGCAGGTAAAGTTTCTCGGGAGACTCCAACTTGATGGTGGGTCTCAAACCAAGGTCATAGGTAAGATCATCATGTACACCTTAGAGTGCATGTATAGGAACTGAGCCCCCTCAGTTGCTGATGCCTGTGCAGTGGACAGAATGCACAGATGTACACAAGGGACATGACAGCCAGGTCATCTAAGCAAGCAAAGGTCTCCAAGTGCCTTGTCAGAGAATGGGAGACAGAACGGGGGTGGCGGGAGGAACACTCCCCTGGCCAAGCTTTGTGACTCGTTCCTGGGCCTGTGGACATGTTAAGGCAGACCTGGCTCACCATGGAAAGATTTTTCTCAATCCTGGTGCAATGAAACAGACGACATCTCAGAACTATCAAAACCACTCAACACCCTGGAAACAATCTCTACCTCAGGGTCTCTAAGACATCATTAAAGGACCACCCCTTATCCCCATGTGTTCATGTAATTTGACAGCAAGGAGTGGCACCCTCCCCTTAGTCCTGTGGACACAAGAGAAAAAAAGATTTGTTCCACCTGCCTTCTTCTATACCTCAACACTCCCTACCCTAATCGAAGACTCACAGCGGTGTGCCTCCCTCTCAAATATGTAAACAATATTAAAAAAAGGAAGGTCATCGAAATCAGTCAGCCAATAAACAAATGGGACCACATCAAACTAAGAAGCTTCTGCATAGCAAAGGAAATGATCAATAAGAGGCAACCAAGGGAATGGAAAACAATCTTTGCATAATACATGACAGGGGACTCAGAGACAGTAAAGCAACCATGTTAAGAAATGGGAGAAGAGGGCCCAGCACAGTAGCTTAGCAGAAGTCCTCGCCTTGCATGAACTGGGATGCCATATGGGCACCGGTTTGCATCTGGGCCGCTCCATTCCCATCCAGCTCTTTGCTTGTGGCCTGGGAAAGCAGTAGAGGTTGGCGCAAAACCTTGGGATTCTGCATCAGCATGGGAGACTTGGAAGAAGCTCCTGGCTCCTGGCTTTGGATCGGCTCAGCTTCGGCTGTTGCAGCCATTTGAGGAGTGAACCAGCAGATGGAAGATCTTTCTCATTCTCTCTCTGCAAATCTGACTTCCCAATGAAATAAATCAAAATTTATGAAAAAATGCTCATATCTCTAGCTATTAGGGAAATAAACCACAGTAAGTTGCCACTTAACTCCAGAGAGAGCACCCTACGTTCAGGAAAATACTAACAAATACCTGCTGGCAAGGATGTGGGAAGAAAAGTCTACTTCACTGTTGGTGGAAATGTAGGCTACCACTGCCCATGTTGAAAGAGCTGAGAGTGTCTGTGGACTAGAGGCTTAGCACAAACCAAGAACACTTGGTATATCTTGGAGCAACCATGTTTCAATGCTCTCTCTTTCATGCCTCCCTCTGGTAGTAAAAGGGTTGCAAATGATGGAAGACGGCTCCCCAAGATAGTGATTAACAGAAGCTTGCATATTGTGGCCTTTGTAACTACAGCTTTGCCATCCTGGCTTTTTGGGATATAAAAGTCTGTATGATCTTAGACAAGCTGTGTCATCCTAAAAGCATGGATGATGGCTGCAGTGTAGTTTAATAAAATCATTTCTCCTTTAAGCATCTTCTCGTCTGTTCAAGCAACCCTGATACCATGCCTTCAGGGCCATGATACAGTTTAAACAGCAGAATGTTGGACTTATAACTGTTGCTGGAAGAATATACTACATTATGTGGAGGAAAATGGGGGTGGAGAGGAAAATGAGAAGGGAGAAAGAGGAGGGGGAGGGGGAATCCCTATACCTATAAAACTGTATCACAAAAAAATAATAAAAAGATGATATATATCAGGATAGAAAATGTATAAAACCCATTTTTTTTTTAATTAATTGCATTGCAATATGTGACACAGTGTTATAGGCAGTGGGATTCCCCCACCCCTCCCCAAACCCTCTCCCCATGGTGGATTTCTCCACCTTGTTGCATTACCACAGTTCAAATTCAGTTGAGGTTCTTCCATTGGAAGTATTTACCAAGCACAACAAAGTCCAGCATCTTATTCGATTTCTTGGTGAGACCATCTCTGGTCTGAAGGTAAAGCCAGCAAAGTATCATGCCAATCAATTAAAAGCCCCAACATAACATCAACAACAATTTACAGCATTATGGCATTAATTGACATGGTATTGATTAACCAATATGTTAATAGGAAAATGCAGGTTCTTAACTACATCCTGTGACTTCTTCATAGACATTTCAATTTTGGTTTATATTCAACCAGGTTCTATACACTTCAAAATGGCTATAGATTACTATTCAGTTGTCTCGTGTCTATTTTCATTTTTGTATTTAGCTATTTATAGTGTTGAAGCATGATTTTGCTGAACTTAGTTGTTTTTCGGATGGTCTGAACTGGCTTATAACTCTAGCAAGACATCTGTCATCAGTTTAGGTACAGAACATTTTTTTTAGGAGGGGTGTGCAGAGAAATCCCCAATACCCTAGGTAAGGTGTAACTAATCTTTGTGTCCCACCTAGTGAAGTATGAGTAAATCCACGCTGACCATTTCCTGTCTGATTCTAAGCTTTCCTTGTTGTTGTCTGTCTATTCTAAGTTTTTTGTTTGTTTGTATGTTTGTTCATTTGTTTTGAGGGGTTTCTGGAGTGATCCTAATGTCATCACGAGAGAGGGTGGTGACCCAGAGCCGGAGCTAGGTGAGGACCAGAGAAAGCTCAAAGCTTGCCTCCCTAGTCCCGAAGGAAGTTTATTATTCTTCTGTTTCTGCAGACCGCTTAGGGCTCCTGGTTGTCGTTCCGATGACGCTGGTTTCTGCACAGCAGAGTTTGGACTTCTTCCATCCCCTGTGGAAGCTCCAAATGGGGGTGGGTGACCTCAGAGTTCTCGGCCTCTGAAGGCACTCCTATTCCCTGTGGTCTCCTTGGCAGTTGGGATGTAGTCATTGGTGTCCGTATAAAACCCATGTTCTTTGATTATGTTTTGCCTGTGTTACTTAAAAAATGAAAAACAGTGGCTGGTGCAGTGGCACGTCAACCTAATCCTCCACATGCAGTACCGGCATACCGGCACCCCATACAGGTCTTCATTCTAGTCCCACTTGCTCCATTTCAGATCAAACTCCCTGCTTATGCCCTGAGAAAGCAGCAAAGGATGGCCCAACGCCTTGGGTCCCTGCACCCATGTGGGGACCCCAGAAGTTCTTTGCTACTAGCTTTGAACTGTCTCAGCACTGAATGTTGCAGACATTTGGGAAGGGAACTAGTGGATCTAAGATCTCTCCCTCTCCGTAATTCTCACTTTCAAGTAAAAAATACCTTAAAACAACAACAATAACAACAAAACCTCACAAGAATCAAGGGGCAGGCATTGTGGTGAAGTAGGCTAAGCAGCCACTTGGGCTATCTATGAGTTTTGAGTTGCTTCCAATCCAGCTTCTAGCCAATTAGTCTGGGAAGGCAACAAGATGAGTCTCAGTATTTATTCTCCTGCCACCCATATGGGAGATTTGAATGAATTTTAGGTTCCATCTAGCCTGTCACTCTGCTTTTTAAACAAACAATCTTAAAAATATTGACAACATTTAAAAAGAAAAAGAAAATAGTACTTCACATTGATTTCTTATTGTTGAAAGGTATTTAGCTTAGAATAAACTTATAGCATCTGAAATCTCATTTTGACTGTTACAGGAAAGATCAGTTAACGCACAAGATGAGACTTCTGGTTTTCAGCTTGACAAGTTCCCAGAAATCATTACTTCAGTCTCCACAAAAAAGCCAAGTAGAAGCAGGAGTCTGGCACAGACACACACACTTCAGAGTGGCTGGATTGGCGTCCCAGCACAGTTTGATTCCAGCTTCCTGCTAAAGCACAGCTGAGAGCGCCATCTCTTGGGATTTTACCACCCACCCAGGAGACCTGGATTGAGATCCTGGCTCCTGACTTCAGCTTAGCTTAGCACTGTATGTCACAGTTACTTGAGCAGTGAATTAACAGATGGAAGGTCATGTGTCTCAAAAAATAAATTGAAAGCAGGTCAGAGCTGAAAACCAATAGCTTTTCTAAGATTCATGAATAATTAATATGACAGGGAAAGTGGCTATCCTGAAACATACAGGTAGACACAGAGACTCACAGGAATTACTGAGGACACGCCAAAACAGCAGCTCATGGCAGGTGTCAGAACTGGTGGAACAATTAATGTGACGGATGAACTGCTAAAGTTCAATGTGGATGAGCCTCAGAATTAGGACTGGCGCTGTGGCATAGCAAGTAAAGTTACCACCTGCAATGCCAGCACCCCATTTGAGTGCTGGTTCAAGTCTCAGCTGCTCCCTTCTGACCCAGATCCCTGACAATGTGCTGAGAAATCAGTGAAAGATGGCTCAAGTGTGTGTGTGCCTGCACCATGTGTGAAATCTAGAAATTTCTGACTCCTGACAGGCTCAACTCTGACCAGGGCAGTCATTTGTAAAGTGAATGGCAGAAGGAAGATGTCTGTTTTTTCTCTCTGTAGTTCTGCCTTTCAAATAAACATACAAATCTTCTAAAAACCACCACCCAAACCTTAGTGTCTAGTCTTAGTGGACTCACACATCTTTTTGAATCTTAACTATAGGAGCCCCACTAGATTTTTAGGGTGAAAATTAGACAAAAATCTGAATGAGGGAGGACAAAAGTAGGATTCTGAAATACACTTCGTTTTCTAATATCCTGAGTCTTCTGTTTTCCTTAACAAATGCCGGTCCTCAGTTCTGGCTCCTGACTGCGGACCCTGGATTCATAGGTGAAGGCTCAAGTCACTGGATTACACCACCCACCTGAGAAGGGGCCTGGACTCTAGTCCTGGCTACTGGCTGCACCCTAGTCCAATCCCAGCTACTGTTGGCATTTGGGTAGTGAACCAGTGGATGGGAAATGTCTTTCAAATAAAAACAAAAACTGATTTGTGCCAGAGCTTAACCAATCTGCTGAAATATACAATGCAAGTCCATTCTAGTTTTCTTGTCTTACCAGGGGAGTAGTTTTGCTGGTGGGGGTGGGTGGGAGGAACGTCAGGGGGTGGAACAAAAAGCCTTAGGAATGTCACATCCCTGGTTCACAGGACTATAGAATGCTTCCCCTCCTCCCTCATGACCACCATATCAAACAAGGGATTACAGCTGGAAGAGCGGCCACAGCCTCTGAGGAGTTCCTAGGAAACCCAAAGACATTAACAAATGATAACAAGGATACTGCAAGAAATAGCCTGGTATTTACACCTGTAGCAAACAGTGTAATTCATGGAAAATAAACATGAATTTTTTCATTGTTAAAAAGACTATTTATTTGAAAGGCAGAATTACAGAGAAAAAGTCCAAAAGATCTTCTACCTACTGGTTCACTTCCCACATGCCTTCAATGGCCAGAGCCAGGCCAATCTGAAGAGAGGAGCCAGGTGCCAGGAGCTGCTTCTGAATGTCCCATGTGGTGCAGAGGCCCAAGGACTTGGGTCATCCTCTGCTGTTTTCCTAGATGCATTAGCTGGAGGCTAGATCAGAAGTGGAGCAGCTAGGACTCAACCCAGCACTCATATAGGATATTGGCACTGCAGGTGGTGGCTTAAATTTCGGGATCAGGCCACAGCATTGATCCCCAAATTTCATGATTTTAAAAGGTCTTTGAACCTCATTTCCTTTCACCCAAAATATCAAGTCTAGGCATAAATAAACAATAACAAAAAATAACAGACACGCTAAAAGGGAATAATACAGCTAAAGAGACAAAGTCACTGTTAGAACCACACTCATGGAGGTATGGCAGATATACTCAAAATGCCAGAATTGGAATTTAAATGTCTACAATCATGCCAAGTGCTCTAATGGAAACAGTGGGCAATGCGTAAGAAGTCTAACAGAAAAAAATCCTAGAGATTTTCAACATAGTAACAGAAATCAACATGCCTTTTAGAGATCAACAGTGGATTAGATCCAGTTGAGGAAAGAATCGGTGAGCTGAAGATGTTAATATAAACCTTCCACATCAGAAAGTCAAGAGCAAAGGACATCTACGAGCAGCTGTGGAACAGTTACAAAAGGCATTCCATATTGGTATGTAATGGGACATGAGAAAAAGAAAAGAACAAACGGAAAGATCAAAGTGGTAATGATTGGGAATTTTCCAAAATTAATGACAGGAAGCTCAGACAATGTTGAACAGTAATAAAACGCTGAAAAATCTACACCTTACACGTCATATTCAAACTGCAAAAAGGGGCCTGCATTATGATTTAATCAGCAGAGCTGCCCTGGGAGACACCAATATCCAATGTGGGCACCAGTTCCAGTCCCAACTGTTCTAGTTCCAATCCAGCTCCCTGTTAAGTGCCTGGGAAAACAGCAAGAGATGGCCCAAGGACTTGGTCCCTGCATCCATATGGGAGACTTGGAGGAAGCTCCTGGCTTTGGACCATTCCAGCCTTTGTGGTCACTGGGGAATGAACCATCAGATGGAAGATTCACGCTCTGACTCTAACTATGCCTATCAAATAAAAATACGTATCTTAAAAAAAATCAAGCACAAAAATATCAATAGTTTATACAGGCATAAGGTTGGTATTTTCCTATTTGAGAATTCATCCACAAAGAACATGCAAGGAAATAAAATCTAAAACACTGAAAAACGTAAGAAACATCTGAACCATATACAGGTGGAAGGGTCCATTAATCAGTGCAAATTAGAAAAGGATGTGTGTTGAAGTAGGGCACAGCTGTCTTGCCCAGGGTTTTCAGAAAGCCTATAGTGTAGACTTTTTCAAAGAATGGAATACACTCTGAGGTACACATCCTATGTCCCTTGTCTGCAAAACCAAGAGCTCCCCTCAACCCACAAAGGCACCAAGGGCAGAGGCCAGGACTAAAATTAACACACAGATGACAATCTTTATACAATTATCTAATCAAATATTGCCTATTTTTATTTACGAATATAACAGTCTTACTTAAATTTGATTCCAGTGTTCAGGAGTCTATAATGTGGACTTAAGTTCCATATATATCAGTTGAACTATAAACTTTAATGTGCACAAGCCATTATTCACATAATAAAAACAAATACCTGTTTTTTCCTAGGCCGCTGCTTTTCAGAGGTTACTGGCTGGTCCTTTGAAACATGCATTCTCCCTCTTTTGGTGGCTCTTCTGCTTTCTGTTTTCTTTTTCTCACCTAAAAGTAAAAATGCTGGCTTCAAAAATTGTTTCACTTTAAGAAAAATGAAATTATGTTTTAAAAGCTATTATGAAATCCCTTTTAAGTTTAAAGGTATTTATTGAAACAAAAAGGCTTCATGTTTAATTTTTTCCCTTTACATCTGGGAGGAGTATGGTGCAGTGCAGAGATCAGTTATGAGAACAGGGATTTTCATGTCTTGATTCTCCTGTATGTCTTTAAAGGAGTAATCTTAACTCCACGAGACTTATCTTTTCATCAAAAAAGAAAAAGTACTTATTGTACTGAAACTGTCTTTTGATAATGTTTACAGGAACATGACAATGTAAATATAACATTTTACTTTTATATTTCATAGAAAATTTAGCAAGTCAACAAATACATGTACCTATATCTGTTACTAAAAAGAACTATATTGAAAGAAAGCTTAAAAAAATCTACAAATAAAAGGACTTAGCAAGATAGTTGGACACAAGATTAATATACAAAAAGCAACAAGGTTCTTGATATTAATTAGTAGCATGAAAACAACTGCGAGATACTACATAGGATAGCAACAGAAATATATCATTCTTGGGAATAACTACTAAAAGCAGTACAAGATCTACATGCAGTAAATTAACTTTTATTACATTTGTAAATGTTAACAAAACTATTATATATACTTGTATATACATAGGTATAGACATGTTGGGGAAATACATCTTGTTTATTCACAGAAAGATTTAATACATCAGTTCTCTATGAGGCGATTTATTGCAACAATGCAGAGCTGTTTAAGATTCTTCAAAATTGTGCACAAGGAGAGGTACTCTACCTTGACATCTGAGCACGCCTGCATTTCTTGCTGAATTTACAGGGTTTATTTATCATCTCGATAATGCATATTTTACAGTTCATAAGCAACTAAGCAGATCAAGGATATCACAACATGACCAACTGCTCTCTTTTGGGGAAAGGTACTGGCTTATTTTTCTTTACCGCAATGTTTTACAGTTCACTTAAAAAGCTTCAAAGTAGCCCTTGGTTCTCATTGTCTCAGCTGAAAAATATACAACCTACTGCCTTCATGGGATCCGTATTGCTCAGGGAATTTGGGATAGGGAGAAAAGCACAACTAGCTGATGTCACACTGTTTATTACGGTGCAATAAATTGTCTATGACTTATGAAGTCTATGTTTGGCACTTACGGGGTGGTGGAAGTTTTACTGCTAACAATCCTCTAATGGCTGAGTATTTTTCATGACAACATAGAAGCCCAAAAAACCAAAAATATTTAAAGCACTACTGCAAAAACAGTATGACTGCCCTACCACATACTGAATTATTACAAATTATACTAACAGACAATACAGTATTGCTATATGAACACATCAAGAGACCTAAATATGTGGGAAATGTGATTTACATATTCATAGTGATCTAGTCAAGAAAAAGGAAATCTTACTAATTATGAATGAAGAGACTATAAATATGGGAGAATTATTCAAATATGTGCTGCACAACTAAAAAGGCAAAGGAAATAGCAAATTAAAAGATAAATATTAATAGGCAAACTTATAATTAAATGTGGAGATTTTAACTTCTGTTATTAACAAGTAGGCAAAAAATAAGCAAAGAGACAGAATATGTGAACACTATTAACTGATCTAAATGAAATTTTAAAATGCTCCATGTAACAATAGCAGTGGTTGGTATTGTGGCACAGTGAGTTAAACTGCTATTTGTCACTGCCAGTATCCCACACTGGAGTGCTGCTTCATCCTGATCTCACACAGGCCTCCAAAGACCCAAATATTTCAGCCTTCTGCTGTCTCCCCCCCTCTCCCTGCCAGGGCAGCAGTAGAAGCTGGACAGGAAAGAGGGCAATCGGACTGCAAATCAGCACTCCGATACCAGATGTCAGAGCTGTAAGCAGTAACTTAAGTAGCTGACACCACAATGTGGGCCTTTGGGTTATCTTTTTAATTGCTTGTTTTTTTTCCAAAGAGATAGTCTACCTACTGGTTCACTCCTCAAATACTCCAACAGTCAAGGCCAGGTCAGGCCAGGCCAGACCAGGTCAAAGTCAATGGCCTAGAACTTCATCAGTCTCCCATACAGGAGGCAGGGACCCAAGCACATTATGTCAACAAGTCTGCCTCCCAAGGATGTGCATGCATCTGAAGAAAGAAACAGAAGTAGCTCGATAGGGGATGTAGGCATTCCAAGCCATGTCTGTTATGCCAAATACTGCCCCTGCAATGTTTTTTGGGGGTATTGTGCTTTAAATCCAGCAATGGCTTTTACTCTGAGTTGCTGGATATGTACATATCACAGCTAAGGTCCAACAAAGTGACATCTCATTTTAGCTTGCATACATATAAACACGTATGACAAGTATGGTTCCCGCCCCCCCCCCCCCACATTTTTGTTAGCGATTTCACTAATTAAAATGATCCCCACATGTCAGCACTACAGTGCTGTAGTGTTTCTTGGGAAAAGAAGGCTGTGATGCATCTTACATATACTACATGTGTTTCAATTGGGCCTGGCAGGTTTTGTTGACAGCGATTCAATGTTAGTAAGGCAACAACATATATTAAATAAATGTAAACATGCATAAAACAACCTTATGTATTGAATAAGTAAAGGTTTTGCACCATAGGCTTACAGAACCTAATGCTTTATTTCTCCTAGTAATGATTTACTATTCACTAATTCAATGCAAACACAAGTACTTTAAATATCAAGAATTAATTGTATTTAAATTTCGGAAAAGCAAGTGAAGCTGGTGAATATAACGAAGGTAGAAAAGCAGTGTGCTACCACAGCAAAACAACTCTAAGTGAGGCAGGCAGAACAGCTTTTCAGATTAAATTCCACCCTCAGTTCTCCAAAGCCAAGACTTAATCATGCCTTGCTTCAATTTTCTTAATTGTGTATTTTTGTGTTGTAGTGAGACCAATCCATGGACAATTTTCAAGGACACAGCCACTTCATGTCGAACATGACAGTAATACTTACTTTGAATAGTTTTTGTTCTTTCTTCCTTCTCAAAAAGGTCTTCTTTCCAGCTTCTACATTTCAACTTAGACAAGAGATTCTTGTGAGACCTAAACAAATCATGAGAATTTAAGACAGGTTCCTGAAAGAATAGTTATAAGATAGATGACTGGTCTTATTCTGTTCTAAACCTACTTTGGCCTGCTTCCTGCAGTGCTCTCCTTACTTAGTGTCCCATCCTAACCTCTGAACAAGATTTCTGCTGTCAGATTTCTTTCCCATCTCTCACTTTCTTCATCTCATCCACTTAGAAACCAAAACTCTTTAGAACTTTCAGACTAAGAAAAAAACAAAAACAAAACAAAAACACCAACTCAGTATTAAATTTTTATTCTCTTCTATCATTTCTATTTTTCAAAAGAGAAATCTCAAAACCTCCCTGCAAGATGGTAAATAACACTTATATTATAGCATCAATAGTTAGTTTTGCCGGTGGTAGGGAAGAATTATTTAGAAATACCGGATGTGGCATGATTTTCTGGCACTCCTGAATAGCTTGTATTTTATAAACGAGAAAAAGAGAATTCAAATTACAGTTTGCCTAAACTTAGGCAGCTCTAATATTGTCACTGAAAAGGTAGGCTGTTTTAACTATATTTTTATCCCAATCATATAGATCATGGATGGGGAATGTCTGGCCCACAGACCACATTAAGGCCTATAAAATCATTTGGTCAGGCTTGGCCAAGTCAACAGCAAGCAGGATTCAAAGTTCACTATCTCTACAGCAGGCTAATTATTTCAGCTGATAACTCTGTATGGGCTATGAATGATTCTATAAATACCCAAAAGACCTCTTATAGAAAAGAGGTTCCCCACCCTTGTTTAGAGCTATGTAGCCTCCTCCTTAAAACTTTGTACTACTCTCTCTGGAAGATCATTCTCGACCTCTACCCCAGCTCCTCTACCCTTTGTACACAATGCAGCTCTCCTCTGAGCACAATGCTTTTCTCTTGACAGCTTTATCAAGTTGAGATGAGGTTAATTTACTAACTGCTACAAATGACAGGGCCCCAGAGATAAATCTTCATAGTTTCCATTTCTGAATGACTGACCTACTTTCAGAATCCTGATTCCACAGTAACCTTAGCCCTTGAAGATTCATATCACTGAGGTATATAATCTTTTATCATTCTTCACAGCCACTCTCATTCTGTCCAAACATTTCCCACCATTCACAGATCCTTTAGGTGATAAGATTTCAGCATTCTTATGGAAAACTCATTAGATTCTGGCTTTTCAATTTCTCATCTCCAATAAAATCTTCCACACCAAGTCAGCCACCTTTTCCCAAATTTCCACTTGACATCCCAACTGCTCTATTTCTGAAATCATTCATGCAGACTTTCTTTTCTTAGGGCATTCATATTGTCTGTCACACAACTTCTCTAGCGGATCAAATACAGTGTTTCAGTAATTTCTTATAAGAGTAAAATTTCAGGCGCTCTTCAGAAACACTCCCATCCTCTTCCTTATCTTTGTTTCTATGACAGAAAATGAGTTTACTAAGCAACTGCTTCATGTTCAAAGATTTCCTAGATGAGAGAACTTTCAGAAAGATCATGGAAAAAAAACTGTAAGTTTATTTTAGTGCAAAAACTTTGAAATCTGTGCATATGAGGTATGACCAAAAGGTTCAGAAAAACATAAGAATATTTTTAAACTTTTTGCACCAAAGTAGACTTATCTTAAATCCCATTTTGCCATGAACTTCTTGAAGTACCTTTATATGTATATTTCAACAATGGGCTTGTAGAAATAGTGTGGAACAAGTCAGAATGCCAGAAGCAGGTCACTACATCTAGAACATCAGGGTCTAGAATATCTGTTGAGGTAAGAGGGACCCTGAAATGGTCTTTTAATCATATCATTCACATGATAGTTACATATAACATATTTAAGTCTGCATGAATTGCTTCAAAGATGTTAAAGACAGAAAAGAGAAACGTCAATTTACTTCACCTCAATAAGGATACTGTACCCTCTGAGGATTCAGTTACCGTAGACTGTTTGTCATTAACACTTTAAAAGAAGAAAAAATTTTTAAGAATATAAATAAAACTTTCATAAGGGTATTTTTCACAGTCAAGTCATTTCAATTTATTAAAAAAAAATTTCACTGGAAAGAAATCCTGGCAAAGTTATGACAAATACAGTCCATTACAACATGGCTAATTTCTGCCCAAATGTGTCCAATATATATTAAGTCTTCCAAAATAAAAGTTAAAAACAGTTATTGCTACCATTAAGCATTCATAATATTTTTTTAAAAAACTTCTTCCATGGTTTTTTAATTTCATGAATTTTTTTAAGAACAGCTTTACTGAAGTACAACTGATACTTTAAAAACTGTGTCACATAATGCAATGTAATAAAAAAATAAAATGAAATTTAAAAATATGCATTTAACTAATCACATCTTATAAGTTCAATGTTCTTATCCTCTCCACCAGTCTCCAACTGACCAGTAAATTCCTCTTTGCTATCGTCAAAATAGCTCCACGCACACATACTATTCGTCTCTCCTCAAATGACACTTCCTCTTTCAGCCACCTGGATAAGTCTTCACCATTGTTCAAGGCCCCAAGGCCTTGTTTAACAACACTTCTGTCAAGTTCACATTCAGACTTCAGTAATGACTTCTGTACTGTCTAGTATTATTTGTTCCATATTTGTAATACTTGTCTCAAATAGATCAATCAGCACAATATTGTAAGTACAAAATTGAGTTCAGATAGTCTTGATGACAGGAGGGTTTCAATTTCTCCAGCATTCTCAAACCTGGCTGTGTGTGACTTTCACTTGTGTGCCATTACCCAGCATCCTGACACTGCTATGTGGTGCTTTATCTTCATCTCTGCTTTCAGAACAGTGCTGTGTTTGTGTGACTCTTAATCTTTACCCTCTTTGGTGTCCTGCATGTTTTAATGTAATTAATCACTCACCAAAGCTATCAAGTTAATGAAGGTGCTTCAAACCTAACTTAGAATCTCCACAGTTTCCTTTTACAGACATGGAAATATAAATTATCATCTAAGACAAGGTACTTTTACAGAGGCGTGACTTAGTGCTTTGAGAGCACAGAACGATTCTGTTCGGAGAGATGGGGAAAGCCTCAGATGGTGAGTTAAGAGCTTGCCTTGCAAACCAACTTCTTAAAAAAGGAATTCAGAAACAGAAGGAACCAGGCAAAAACAGAAGCAATAATGGATCAAGAGCAGTGAGAAGTTGTGTTATTAGAAAGCACCATGCATGCGAGCAGAAGTGGCATTAATGCTCAAGGATATAATTGTACCAGACTCCCTTATCTGTGCTAGATATTTTTACAAAATCTCCAGTTGAAACACTAAGAGTACCAAACACTTTAATTTAGCCTGAAAATATTAAATGGAAAATTCTAGAAATATTAAGTAGAAATATTTTTAAATCTTTCATCCGTTGTTTTACTTTCCAAGTGACAGCAATGGCCAGAGTGGCACCAATCCAAAGCCAGGAGCCCGGAGCCTCTTCTGGGTCTCCCATGTGCGTGCAGGGTCCCAAGGCTTTGGGCTGTCCTTGACTATTTTCCCAGGCCACAATCAGGGAGCGGGATGGGAAGCGGGGCTGCTGGGATTAGACCCAGCATCTATATGAGATCCTGGCACATGCAAGGCGAGGACTTTAGCCACTAGGTTACTGCGCTGGGCCCTAGAAATATTACATAAGGTTTAAATTTGCCTCTTCTGAGTAGAATGATGTCCAACTCCACCACACCTTGAATGTGAATTATCCCTTATAGAGTACATCAATTTTACAAACTCACTCTGTTCGTTAGCCACTTATTTGCCATGCTTGGTTACATGATCAAATAACATGGTTTGTACTATTTTGCTTAATAACGGCTCCATAGTACAAGACCAGTGTTGCTGGCAATTTGGATATACCAGAAGCCATAAAAAAAATATTAACCAGGAAACAAACAAATCTTACTTGGCAAGTATGAATTTTTTATGAAACTGTGAAGGAAAAAGAAATTCATGCTAATTTTGCTTTTTGAAGTTACTGCCATCATGCATATTTAGTTACAGAGCTAATACAGTTTCAGCGGCCAGTGAGAATACCCTTCAGATAAGGAGAGACCATCACATGGACAATGATTTCCAGTCACTCTGGACACACTTTTGTTCACATCTTCCATCTATACATTAAATACCTGTCTTAACAAAGCTCGTATCAGGCACCATAGTCATACCTTCTGCAGTCTGATTTTCTAAACAATATGTAATGAGCAGTAGGCCATGTTCTGCTAGTAGGAAGAGCCACCACAAGAAAATCTAGTCCCAGTCCTGAGGAGGTGGGGTCAGGTAACACCCAGTTTTGATCTCAGTCTCTACCATTACAGAATGATTTAATAAATGGCCCCAGATGTGGGTACTGTGGCACAGCAGTTGTATTCTTGAAGTATTCTAGTCCTGTTTCTACCTCCAGTCCAGCTTCCTCCAATGCAGACAAAGGGAGGCAGTAATGGTGTTAAGTACTTGGATCCCTGCCATGCATGTGGGAGATGTGTCCTGGCTTCAGCCTAGCTTAGCCATGGTTCTTTTAGGTATGTGGAAAGTGAACGGTAGATATATCATTTGTCTATGTTACTCTCACTCTGCCTTCCAAATAAATGAAATCAAATCAAATAAAGAGATGGGATCCATGTGGTACCTCAGCTGTAGCCCCCAAGGAAGAAACATCACATCACATCTGTTAACAAATACATTCATCCATGGATCACACTGACTATCTGGTTTTACACTAGGATGGAAGACAAAAGCGAATATGGGTTCATCGGAAAAGAATATAAGTGGAACTGACAATACACAAGACTGAAACAAATCATCCTTCAGCTGAGCACACAATATAGCAGTTAGCTTAAGCTTAACGATACCTCAATACTAAAATATGAGAATAATTCCTAATAGAATGAAACATGGTGGATCACTTAAGGACATGCGGTATCTGAGAGCCACAAACAAGTACAAATGACTCAGGTGTCCAATCTCAACCTTGGCCCTAGGCCCACCTTGAGAATGGTAAATGAAATTACCCATTATTCAAAATGGGTTATTTTCTACTTTGCTTAGCACATATAATTTGTAAATGTCACTAAATAATTACAGTACTCCAGATGTTAATCATTGTAAAATATATCCATTAAACATTAGTTTTAATAGTGGCTTAAAGCACTTTTACAGACAGAATATTCATAAAACAAAAAATGCATATAGTTATCAGTTTACAAACCTTTCCCTTATATCCAAAGTACTTCCAGTTTCCATTTCAGCATCATCATCGTTAGGCTTTTCTTGAGAAGTTGTTGCTCTTGCTCTTTTACTTTCCACTACCTTTGTTGCTGCCTTGAAAAAGCGTATGTGTGAAGGAAGAAAGGAAAAATGAGGCCATTTTTAAGAAACATCATTAAATTAAACCTTTTAAGTCTTTGATAGTTACAGCGAAACAGTATTCACAGGTCAATAAAAGGCAGTGTTATTTTCACCAGTAATACGACACAAGTGGCAGCTACTATAGCTATCTAGTTAGTTTACAGCATTTATAGAGCAGGTCTTTCTTGCACGTTCATTTCAGATATTAAGCTCACCGCATAATTTTAAAATGAAAGTCTACTTAAAAATAAATAGGTTAGGTGTATAGGGCAGCATTTAAACTGCCACTTGAGATAACCACATCCCAATATTGATTTGAGCTGCAGCTGCATTTCTGATTCAGCTTCCTGCTAGCACGTACCCTGAATGACTCAGGTATTTGGGAGACCTCGGTGAATCCTCAGCTCTTGGCTTTGAACTGGTCCAGCCCTAGCTGTTGTGGGCATCTGTGCCGTAAACCAGGTGACAAGACATCACTGTACCTCTCTCATTCCTCTACTCCTGTGGTTTTTTTTTTTTTTTTTTTTTAGGTGTAAAGAGTACATCACTGAAATAGTTACACTTCTAATACTCTTTACATTTGTATGCAATAGACTAAAAATGATTGCTACTGTCAGGGCATAGTAAACTGCACTTAAATAAGGCAGCCTATTTCATAATTTAAATTAAAATTACTGTACAATATGAAAACAAAACTACATAATGTTAGGATCTGCAATGCAGTTGAAATGGCATTACTATTCTGCAATACATGAAAGAGTGCAAAAAAATCCAAATGGGATTCTAGAGTGTGAAGTTTACAATTGCCATTTTAAATGATCATTTGGACATGCATTTCAAGCCTTGCTGTCATCTTATGGCAAAGCTCCTAAGAGGAAGAATACTTCCCAGCCTCCGCTGTTGTATTTAGGGAGTGAACCAGCAAATGGAAAATTCCAAACTTTCAAGTAAAATAAAAACAATTTTAAAAAATTAAGCAAAAAAAATAAAATTCTGGATATTATGAAATAAAGCAAAAATTAAAATGTCCCACCACTTCAATACTAACACTTCTGGAGGCTAAGACAGAACACAAATGTATAGAAAAATTCTAAAGGCTTTTCTTTAATCCAACCTTATTCGCCACCTTAAAATATTTGCATTTAAAATGTACTTAAGGGGCTAACACTGTGGCATAGTTTGTAAAGTCACCACATGTGACGCCAGCATCCCATACAAATGCTAGTTCCTATCCCAGATGCTCTACTTCCAATCCAGCTCACTGCTAATATGCATGGGAAAAGCACTAGGGGAAAACGGCCTGGGTGCCAGAACCCCTGCCACCTAACAAGGGAGATCCTGATGAACCTGCGGGCTGCTGGCTCTGCCTTGGCTCAGCCCTGGCCACTGAGGCTACTTTGGTAGTAAACAAGCATGTGAAGACTCCCTTCTGTCTCCCCCTCTCTTTCAAATAAATATTTAAGAAAAAAGTACTTAAAACTACATGTTTCTACTACTTATTCTTAACTCATTCTGATGTTTTCCGTTCAACTTACCATTCTAAAACTTGCAAAAATACTTACATACCGTATAATTATTTTCACTAATTATAAAATTCTTACACATTCTACAAAACCACTAGACAAAATTCTGACTAGTTTTTTTTACTGTTTTAGAACAAATAATATGTATACCTTCATCAGAAAGGCTGATGATTTTTCATTCAGCACAAAATTCACGTAACTTTTAATTTTCTCCATCATGTGGTCATAGCTGAAGTGTTGAAAAAAGGAATGGAATGGATCTTTCTGAGATATTATCATAAGCAGTTTCCTTTCTAAAGACTAAAGCAAATGGGAAAAAGTAGTTATAAAATTACAAGCACAAAAATTTTGTAACATATTATTACATGGCCATGTTTAAGACAATTAGTTGTGGTGATGATATTTGGAGAACTAGTAATTTGCACTACTGGTATAGTAATGCAATAATAAAAATATAATTTATGCATCAATCCTTCCACCTCTTAAAGAATTTAGATAGTGGATATCACTATAATACTATTAAATATATTTGAAGATTTATTTTTATTGGAAAGTCAGATTTACAAAGAGGAGACTGAAATGGCTCCCCCAGATGGCTGAAACAGTTGGAGCTGAGCTGATCCAAAGCCAGGAGCTTCTTCCAGGTCTCCCACACCGATGCAGGGTCCCAAGGCTATGGACGCTTTCCTAGGCCACAGGCAGGGAGATGGATGGGAAGTAAAACAGATGGGACAGGAACCAGCGCCCATGTGGGATCACGGCACATGCAAGACAAAGACTTTAGCCAGTAGGCTATCGCACTGGACCTAAATATTTTTCTATATATCTGCTTTTAAACAAACTCTCAAGTTCACCTCATGCCAAATGCAAATGCTGTAAGTCAGCCTGGGATTTGTGTTTATGTCTTGAAACTTCATGCTTTCATACGTGTAGTCAAAGTGCAATGCATGCCTACAAATTTTGCTAAGATGCTCTCTCAAGTTAAAATGCAATTTATATTTGGGGAGGAAGTTATGCAGGTAGACACTTTTCCACTCTTTGAGCTAACTGCTGTTATTGCAGCCAGGATGAGGGATAACAAATGATATCTGAACATCTTACATGGTATTGTCTTCAGGACAAACACTAGTTCAAGAGGTTAAGCACTACTGTCTAAATGGATGTCTTGATGTTCACTGACTGTAAATTTTCCTCTCAGGAAACATAAACAGAGTTATTTCACAGTACTCTATTAATGGAAAGGACAAAGCATAGGGACAGAAGCACACCAGGCTAGCAACTGAAATTTCTACAGGCTAGGAAAATGGTCTAAAGACAGGGTAAGCTTTACTAAAATTGCAACCGGCCCTCAATTTATTTTAGTCCCTTATTATAGAAAAAAACTAAAACCAGAATAGCTAAAATAAAAATTACAGATATGATATGTGGAGCAATCAGAACTCTCCTACACTTTAGAGGAATTGCCATAATCATATGTGCCATAATCACACTTTGGAAAATAGTGTGGTGGTATTAACAAAAAGCAAGAATGTATATGTACCCTGTGCCTCATCAATTCTACTCCTAGACATATAATCAAAAGAAATGCATACATGGGCCTAGCGCAGTAGTCTAGTGGCTAAAGTCCTCATCTTGCATACACTAGGATCCCATATGGATGACAGTTCATGTCCCGGCTGCTCCTCTTCCCATCCAGCTCCCTGCTTGTGGCCTGGAAAAGCAGTCAAAGATGGTCCAAGGCCTTGACCCTTACCTGTGTGGGAGACCCAGAGGAAGCTCCTAGCTTTGATTCAGCTCAGGTCCAGCCACTGCAGCTGTCTTTCCTTCTCTCTGGAAATCTTTCTGATAAAAACAAATAAACTAAAAAAGAAAAAGCATACATTTATCCTATAAAACTTAAAAGGATACCAAAGATAAAAACTTGAACTAATTCAAATGTACATCAATTAGAGTATCCAATTGTTACAAACAGCAATATAACATGATTCTGCTACAAAGTTCAGGAACAAGTAAAATTCTGCTTCAGTGGTTCAAGTCTGAACAGTGATTATCCTTAAAAAAGTAAACACATTTTAAGTGATTGGAAGATACTGATCAAGTTGTTTCTTGATCTAGAAGTTTCACACATAAGTGTATTCTTTTTATGAAAATATATGTGTGTACATATATACATACAAGCACTTAGGACATATGCAACTGCTCATTAAAAGTTTGCAAAAAATTATACTATCCTTGATTTGCATAAATTCACTTCCATAAGTTTTTGATATTAAAAAAAAATTGAGGCCTAAATGCATTACAGGTACACAGAATAAGCACCTAAGAATCCTTAAAAAAAAAAATTAAAACAATTAAAACATTAAACATTAAAATGTCTTCTAGGGGGCCCAGCACAGTGGTGGTACTACATCTTAAGCCTCTGTGCCATGCCAGCATCCATGAGCTCCAATTCAAGTCTTGTCTGTTGTACTTCTAATCCAGCTCCCTGCTTGTGGCCTGGGAGAGCAGCAGAGGCTGGCCCAAAGTCTTGGACCCCTATATTAACATGAGAGACCTGAAAGAAGTTTCTGGCTCCTGACTTTGGATCAGGCCAATGATAGCCATTGCAATCATTTGGGGAGTCAAGACAGTGGAAGATCTTTCTGTCCCACCTCTTCTATAACTCCACCTTTCCAACAAAAATAAATTTTCAAAGAAAAGTTTTCTGGTAAGACTAAGTCAATTATTAAGATTAATTTCACCTTTTACTTTTTTTTAAATTAATTTTTATTGGAAAGGCAGATTCATAGAAGAAACAGATCTTCCAACCAATGGTTTACTTTCCCAATGGCTACAGTGGCCGGGACTGAGTTGATCCAGAGCCAGGAGACTCTTCTGGGTCTCCCACACGGGTGCAGGTTCCTAAGGATTTGGACCATACTCCACTGCTTTCTCAGGTCACAAGCAGGGGGCTGGATGGGAAGTGGAGCAGCTGGGACATGAACTGGCACTCATATTTGAAACCAGTGTGTGCAGGGTGAGGATTTAGCCACGAGCCATTGCACTGGGCCTACCTTTTGCTTTTCCAATATGCTACTAGAAAATTTGAAATTTTTCAACAATTAAAAAGAATGGAATTATATCATTTGCAACTAGATGGTCCCAAATAGAATCCTGCTCAGTGAAACAAGTCAATCTCAAAAGGATAAGTATCTTGTTCTGATATAATGCAGCCTTTACACAAACTGTAAGATCAATAACCTTTTCTATATTGTTTTTGCTGCAATCCATGGGTTTTGATATTTGCTTTTATTTTTATTTCTTCCAAATAGTCTGTCTCTTAAATTCTTCACCAACTTTTAGATTATATAGTAGCATCATTTTACGCAATAAGTTTTTGTTTTTTCATTTCTTCATCGATACATTGGTTATTCAGTAGTATGTTGTTTAACTCCATGCTGCTGTAATTTTTTTTTAACTTCATTCCTTCTGCTGACTTTATTTTATGGCCTCTCAATTAAGGGAATGTATAGTGGTGCATAAGAGAGACTATCATATCCAGATGTGAAGATACAATACAGTATGCATTTTTACTTCCAAATCAAAGATGGACTCCCAAGGAAACTTAGATATATCTTGACAATAGGACGCTGGACTGTTTGCCATTGTCTGTACCAACAATGTTATAATGTTAGAACACACTTAAATAACAGACTGATGGACATATGACTTCTTATGAAGGACTATATTATTGCAATAAAAAGGGGAAAATCAGTTGGGGATGTGAATTTGGGGAGTAGGGAGTGAGGAAATCCCAGACCCTATGCAATTATATCATAAAATTCAAAAATAAAAGTTTGAAATTTGGGCCAGGCGCAGAGGCCTAGCGGTTAAAGTCCTGGCCTTGAATGCGCGCCCGGGGTTCCCATGTGGGTGCCAGTTCTAATCCCAGCAGCCCCACTTCCCATCCAGCTCCTTTCCTGGGAAAGCAGTCGAGGAAAGCCCAGAGCCTTGGGACTCTGCACCCACATGGGAGACATGGAAGCTCCTGGCTTCAGATTGGCACAGCGCCAGCCATTGCAGTCACTTGGGGAGTGAATCATCAGACGGAAGATCTTCCTCTCTGTCTCTCCTCCCTGTATATCTGACTTTGCAAAAAATAAATAAATAAATAAATTTTTAAATAAAGTTTGTGAAATTCTATACTTGTACGTCACTTGCATAGTTTCTGTTGGACAATGTTGTCTATATTAAAGAATGAAGTATTTCTTTTCTTTCTATTTACTTGCAGTTTTCCTCAATCTATATTGAAATACTACAATTTTAAATAGTTACCGTATAAGAAACTGGATCACCAAATACTCTTTCAAAGACTTCTTCTGCTTCCTTAAAATTGCCATTTTCCATACAAACAGCTACAGCCTAAAAGACAATAACACGACACTGCTTTTAAAGAAACTGAATAGCAAAATAATTATTGAAATAACTCAAGTCCAAAATACTTCATTTAAACATTTTTATATGTAATTTAATGCCATCTGTGGCATGAGCATCCCATAAAGGCACTAGCTCAAGTCCCAGCTAACTCCATTTCTGATCAGATCATTATTAATGTGCCTACAAAAGCAGTTGAAGATGGTCCCAGTTCTTCAGTCCCTGCATCCGTGTGAGAGACCTGGAACAAATTATCGGCTTCCGGCTTCAGAATGGCCTAACTTTAGTTGTTACTGTCATTTGAGGAGCAAATCATTACATGAAAAAGCTCTAAAAATACATACATATATATATGTATATATACACACACTTTGTATATAAATATATATGTGTATGTATATAAATAAGTATCTGTGGCTTGAAAAAGATGAAAAATTTTTATTGGTCCTACACACGTTAATAAATGCCTGCCCACCATCTCTAGTTTTGGCAAAATTAAAAGCAGTCACCAATAAATTAGAGGTTATCCCATGCACATGTAAAAGGAACAAAAATCCCCCAAATTAGTCCATGCAGCTACAACCAGTAAATCCGACAAATGAGCTGAAAACAACCCTTCAAGAAAGGAGACTCCTCAACAAATGACATTTGGGAAAACTGAATCTGTGAGCAGAAATATGAAATAAGACCCGTACTTGACTTCACCCGTACTTGACTTCTAAATTAATCAAGCATCTAAATCAATGGTATAATACCATCAAATTAAAGGAAAACAGCTGGAAATTCTGCAAGAAATAAAAAGGCAGAGGTGAAACTACCCAGAAGGACAAGCAGTTAAAGTAAAAATAGAGGAATGGGGTTACATCCAGTTAAAAAGCTTCTGTACTACAAAGTTAACAGAGGAAACAAAGGAAATCAACAGAATGAAAGAAAACATTTGCAAATAATGCAACTGATAAAGGACTAATAACTAAGATCTATAAAGAGCTCTAACAGCAAATCAAACAATCCAGCTAAAAATGAACATGAATAGGCAAGTAGTAGAGATGGCCAACAGACACATTAAAAATAAATAGGATGCCATTGAGAAATGTAAGGACCTCAGTGAGGTTTCACTCATCCCAGCTAGAATGGCTAGCATTTGAAAATCAAAAAGCTATAAAAGTTGTAGAGGATGTGGGGAAAAGGAACCAAAATGCATTGTTGGTGGGAATGTGAACTAGTGCAACTACTATGAAAAAGTATGGGGAAACAAGAAACAGAATCAAGATAGTGGAATGAGGTAAGAACATGTTTAAACAAAATAGCCAGGGTGAGGCAGAAGGCACCTGGTGACTGATGGACACAGGAAAGAAGCGGAGACATTGGTGTGGTGTTGCAGTGACTAGATACCACAGCGGTGGTCAGCAAGTGGCGATCTGAGCTCCACTCATAGCTAAAATGACAGGAACAAATTACCACCCATTTATAATAACCCTGAGTGTAAATGGCTTAAATCCATCAATCACACATCATAGATTAGTAGACTGAATTAAAAAAACAAAACCCATGTCTGTTGCCTATGGGAGACATATCATACCAACAAAGATCAGTGGAAACTGTATTTCATGGATTTTAATGTCTGTTTTTATTGCATTTCTTTCGTAGAAGGACACTGCCACTAGTGGAAGGACAGTGAACATATGATAACAACTGACTGGATACCATTTGAATGGGAACACTTGATGGGATATACAAAACATAGTTCCAAACAAGGGTGTGGAAACAATGATGGGGTAACGGGAACTATGTAAGCTCAATACCTCCTCCCTTATCTTACCTGACCCTCAGTCTACAAAAGCCTGATGCCACCAATAAACTGAGGCTATCTCACCAAGATGGTATCAAAACAATTTTTTTCTCATTAAATTCTTTACTGACTCACAGGTCATAAAGTAGCATCATTCTCTTCAAGAACATTCTTGATTTTCTTTTTCATTTCTTTAATGACACATCAGTCATTCAGTAGCATGTTACTTAACTTCAGGTTGTCTCAAACTTTTTTTCTTCCTGTTGTTGATTTTGTATTGTGGCTTTATATTTAAGGGGATTATATAATAACTGCATAATGGAGGCTATCGTATCCAGATGAGAGGATACAATGCAGTATACATCCCTACTTCCAAAGATGTACTCCCAACGAAACTATTAACTACATCTTGACAATAGGATGCTAGACTCTGCCATTGTCCATGCCTGTAATGATGGACTTATGAATGTTTATGAAAAACTGTACTATTTTAATATAGGGAAACAAGTTGGAAGGGAGGGGATTTAGGAAGGGAAGGAAGGTGATTTAGAAATTTCAGATTCTATGGAACTGTATCAAGAAATAATAATAAAATGATAAAAAAAAAAAGCGGGGGGGGGGAGGGAGAGAACGCTTTGTGTAAGAGAAAAACAATGACAATGAATGGACTTCTTACCAGATATCGCAAAAGCCATGAGTAAGGGGCATAAAAATTTTCAAGTATTGAAAGAATTACCAACCTGGAATTTTATAGCTAGTAATAAAGAGAAAATTAAGATATTCTCAGGTGAAACTCAGTTTGTCACCAACAGGCCTATCAAAAGAAATGTCTGAAGAAAATTCTCTAAACAGAAAGGAAATGATAAAGAGGAGATATTGCACCATAATGAAGGAAAAATAAAGAGTAAAAATTTGGATGAACAAGAACGAAAAGACAGTATGGTGATTACTCAGAAATCTGAAAATAGATCTGCTATACGGCATGGCCATACCACTCCCAGGAGTTTATTCAAAGGAAATGCAATCAGCATGAGTTATCTATACCTGCATGCTTACCACAATTCAATTCACAACAGCTAGCTAAGACATGGAATCAACCCAGATGTTCACCAACTGATGACTAGATAAAGAAAGTGTCACACTCACACACACACACACACACACACTATGGAATGCTACTCAGATATCAAAAAAAGGATGTAACTGGAAAGCATCACACTAGGTGAATTAAGCCATTCTCACAAAAAGACAAAATCTGTTTTCTCTGATATGTCCTGACTGATCTACTTCAAATCCAACTTCCCGCTTACAACTTGGAAAAGCAGTGGGAGTGCTCACTTCGGCAGCACATATACTAAAATTGGAACGGAAAAGCAGTGGGAGAGGACCAAAAGCCTTGGGACACCCTGCACCCGTGTGGGAGACCTGGAATAAGCTCCTGGAGGATCCTGGCTTGGGATTGTGTCAGCTTTGGCCATCGTGGCCAGCAGACAAAAGATCTTTCTCCCTCTCTCCTTTTCTGTAATTCTCTTTCCAATAAAAAATAAATCTCAAAAAAATATATTTTTTCTTGATCTGTTGCTGGGGTCCGTGTGATGGGTGTGGAAGACAAGAAGGTGTGAAGAGTATTGTTCCATTGCAGGCAGGGCCGCAAGGAACTTCCCGCTGTTTGGCAGGGCCCATGGATGTCTCTATAACCATCTGAATGCAGCTCCGCCTCCCTTTGCATGGACACCGGACAACCCCACTGAGATTTCTGTAATCTATTTAGGCATTGTCTGCCTCTGTGGAGTTAATGTTTAATATCAATGTAGGCTTGGAAGCTGATGTTGCTGATACCGTTTTTAGCCAAAAAGTCTTTCATTATTGCTGTCATGGCTGCATCCAGTGACAATATGCTGCAAAGGGTGCTAACTCCCATTTACCATAATATGCTAATCAAGGGTGTTCTGTCCCCAGGTGTAGTGGGAATCTATTCTTTCCCTCTTTCTTTGACCTTTAGGTCCCTTCTTCTGTGAAGTCCTTCCTTCCTTAACTGATTCAAGACTAAACTGTAGAATGAGGATTGTGGTACAAATGTGTTACTGATTGATATGCGCCATCTATTGAGAACTTCTTCCCAACCACGGCGCAGGGATTGATAACATCCTGCCTTTAGGTGAAACAAATGGCAGAATTATCCTTAGAAACACCCACTTGACCATGACGTAAAGAGTCTGAGCCAGATTTTTACTAGTTCTGTATAAATAAAGCAGACAGCTTTCATGCATGGTCCACAATGATCATGGAATCCTAGTGGTCCATCTCTACTCTCTTTGTGCCTCATCCACGCACCCTTCGTAAGTTCAGAACTCAGCTGGAGCAGGACTTAGGCAATCTGTTATATAGGAAAGAAACATCAAGATGGTTTGTTCAACTCCCTAAGAAGTACCACGGTGATTATCAAGTAGAATTAGGGCCCAAAGAACAGAAAATGAGCAGAAAAATGACTGCTTTTAAGAACTGAATTCAGGGAAAAAACATTTATCATGTTATCCTAATCTTTTCAGGCATTAAAGGAAGCTGACACTTTTGCTGTTAATACCTACTATTGCTCTTTTTTTTGTATCTAATTTTATTTAGAAGGCAAATTGTTTATTTTGTATTGGAAAGTCAGATTTACGGAGAGTGGAGATAGAAAGATCTTCTATCTACTAGTTCACTTCCCAGTGGCCACAACAGCCAGAGCTGAGCCAATCTAAAGCCAGCAGCCAGAGCTTCTTCTGGGTCTCCCACGTGGGGCATGAAAGGCAGAATTATAGAGAGAAACTGAGAGATATCCTCCATTCCTTTGGTTCACTCTAAAATGGCTCTTAGGGCCCGGCGCAGTGGCGCAGTGGTTAAGGTCCTTGCCTAGCACGCCCGGGATCCCATATGGGCGCCGGTTCTATCCCAGCAGCCCTGCTTCCCTTTCAGCTCCCTGCCTGTGGCTCGGGAAAGCAGTCGAGGACGGCCCAAAGCTTTGGGACCCTGCACCCTCGTGGGAGACCCGGAAGTCTCCTGGCTTCGGATCGGCATAGCATGGGCCGTTGCGCTCACTTGGGGAGTGAATCATCGGACGGAAGATCTTCCTGTCTCTCCTCTCTGTATATCTGCCTTTCCAATAAAAGCATAATAAAAATAAATCTTTAAAATGGCTCTTAGTCTGGAGCCAGGAGCCTCTTCTGAGATTCCCATGTGGGTGCAGGAACCCAAGTACCCAGGCCACCCTATGCTGCTTTCCCAGGCACACTAGCATGCACCTGATCATAAGTGGAGCAGTCAGGACTTGAACCCACATGGGATTCTAGAGTCAAAGGCTTAACTTACTACACCATGGTACAACACAACTTCCAAGCTGAGTAGATGGGGTGGACTTTGTGATGCAGTGGGCTAAGCTTCAGCTTTGGCATGCCTACATACCATATTGGTGTGCTTGGTTAAAGTCCCTGTTATTCAGCTTTTTATCCGGCTCCTTGCTTTGCATCTTGGAAGGCAGCTGAACCAGTGCCCATATGGGATGCTGGCACTTGTAGTCAGAAAATTAGCCAACTGAGCTATTGCAATGGCCCCCACAAGTTTGAGGGGCTGGCGTTGTGGAGCAGCTAGTTAAGATACCACTTATACACCAGTAATTTGCATAAGTGCTCAGCATTCTAAACTAACCCAAATTAAAAGCGAAAACTAATCAAATAAAAGCCGTATTATGCATGTAGAATATTTGCTTTGAATGGCAACAAAACATTTTCCCTGCTACATTCTTTACTCTTTTGGCTTCTCTTAAATCGCCTACTGTATAGTTACAACTTAATCTGCCCTTGATCATAACAATCCTTAATGTATTAAGTTAATTAAAATTGTTCTGTTTTTCATATTCTCAAGTTGCCTGATCTTTAAATTGACGCAGTACATTTTCTGCTACACAACAGTAACACATACGTAAGCACAGAAAGTAAGTTTCCATTTTTGGTGCTAACTCCAAGAGGAAAAACCAAAGGTCAAATTTCCAAAGAAAAAGAATTACACTGAAACTTACTCCCAACAGGTTTCTCTTAATTTCTTTTAGATATTAAATAGGTTTTCAGTTCCTAACAAAATAATCATTGTAAACATGGAGTGGCATTCATACCTGAATTTTAATTAAATTCTGTATTTCTTCATGAAGTTTGTCACGTTCCTTTTCAATTGTATCCCAAATCATCAGAGCTGATTCCAAGGGTGTAATTCGCTCATCATTGTCAAATTGTGCATCTTTTAAAAAACACAAAAATAAGTTAAAAACTAAGTAAAATCTTCATCAGGCTTCTCCAAATATTTTTCTTAATATGTATATTATTTTCATTAAGCACTTAGTAACATATATACTATTAAGCCAAGTATGGTTCTTATACATATCAATTTAGGGAAGTGATTTGATTCTCCATGTTAACTTATTTATTAGAACAATTATAAAAAAGGCATGAAACTATAAAATATTTTAATTTTACTAAAACACTGATATTAAGGGCTAAAGTAACCTTTCTTACATAAGGTGTCATAGTAACAGAATTTTGATGAATATCAAAATACAATCTCAATTTTCTTCACTAAGAAATGGTGACAATAAATAGCATGTTACAGAACATATGGAATAACAAAATCAACATCTATTATTAAACTTTCCTAAAGCAGAATTTTTATTGGGTTACTCTGAATAAAGACATATGTAACCAATTAGCAAATTACAGACAACTCAGTCTGACACTCAAGAACCTTCATCTGGGACTAGCATATGGCACAGCAAGTTAAACACCACCGTAGGCAGTCGCATGCCTATATGAGAGCCTGGATCGAATCCCAGCTAGCACACATCCACCCAGCTCCCAGCTTATGTGCTCAGAGGCAACAACTGATGGCTTAACTTCTTAGGCTCCTGACACCCACATGGGAGATCAGGCCTGAATTCCTGAATTCTTGCTTCAACCTAACCCAGCTGGCTGTTGCAGGCATTTGCGGAGTGAACCAGTACTTAAAGACATCTAAGATTTCTCTGTTTAAAAGGTAGAGTGATAATGAGGGAGAGACAAACAAGTATGTAATAAAAGATTCACTATGTATAACTCACATATCCTGCATCTATAATTAGAGATCATTCAATAAACATATATGAACTACTGGGTACATACAGGAACTTGTCTAAAGAGAGTATCTCAGAGAATAAGATAAAGTAATTATTCTAACAATTCTTACATGCTACTCGGAGAGTAACAAACCAGCAGGTATGATTTCAGAATAATAAGGGTGGGAAAGCAGCAAGCAAGAATGGTAAGGGCAGGCAATGCAAAGGTGCTTGGTGGAAATTTGGCATTTCAAGGCAAAAAAAAAAAAAAAGAACAGTGACAGACTGAGTGCAAAACAATGTAAGAAACAAGTAGTTGCAGGATTTGGAATTCACTTTGAATGCAGAACAAAGCTTGCCAGTAGATTGCAAAGAATATGAGGCAAAATGCAGGATTCTCAGGTTGCAACAACTAACGGGACAATGCTGGTTTTACTAACACAGGAAGTCTAATAAGGAGCAAATTGAGGAAACTGAACACACAAATCAACAGATGAATTATCCAGATAAACTATAGGTTATTCTCCAAATAATGCTGATGTTTTTTACTCAAAATACCATTTTTCTATTTTCTTTCTGCTTTATGCTTGGAAGTATTACTAAATTTTGTCAAGCTACTTCATTCCTAAATGAATTCCATGTAAGAGTAGGACATTTTCTTTCCTTAAATCTCATATTATTTCTACCTCTTTATGCCTTCCTGTGTTTCTCTACACAACAACACTGCATTAGATTTTTAAAATTTTTTTCAATTATTTATTTTCATTTAATTTGAAAAGTAGAGGGACCGAGAGACTGGGTCACCTTTAGTCCAATGGTTCACACCGCAAATGGCCGCAGCAGCCAGGGCTGGGCTAGGCAAAAGCCAGGAGCCAGGAATTCCATTTGGGGTTCTCATTTGTGAGGCATGGGGCTAAATACCTGAGTCATCTTCCACTGCCTTCCCAGGAGTGTGAGCAGACAACTGGTTTGGAAATGAACCAGCCGTAAAACTGGCACCTATAAATTTTTCTTGACTGACATTATCTAATCCTTATTATTAATCTGCCTTCCATCTTAGAAATCTAAGATACTTTAAAGATTTCTAATATTAGATTTTAGTTTTAAATAAGATAAAAATACATATTTACCCAGGGATTTTCCCGCTGCAATTCTTGTCAAAAACTGACATATATATATTGTTCTTAACTGATATGCTGTTAGATTGGATAGTCCATGAATTATAGCTGAAAAAGAAAAAGGTTAAGTTTATTAAAATAAAATGAAACTTGATCCAATAGTGCCACTATGTGGTTTGCTAAAAAATTACAATGATTTCACATTCTCATTAAGTTACATAGTTGACTTTTCAAAGATCAGAACAAAGAATAGTCTTACAGTAAATAGTTTTTTGCAAAACCTAACATTTACATCTAAAATAACAAATATTTAAAATTGCTTTCAGAGCAGTCAATAATAATGAAGTGTCATATCAAAATTATAAAATGTCTAAAATCACTAGTTGGAAACATTTGATACCATGACACTTCATTTTATAGGAAACATACCACTTCTGTCAAGATTTCAGTTAAGAAATCTGTTTAGTTTAAGCTACATTTAAAAAATAATTAATATTAATCCCACAAACGTTTGAATACTCTCCTAGATGTTATCCAGGCTGGTGAATATATATATAATGATAAGTAAACTATACTTCTGTATCTCTGTAAGCTTACAGCTATATAGCAATGAGAGACAAACATTAGAACCAGTGAAGTGAAAATGTAAAAAAGTACAGAATACCATAGAAACACAAAAAAGGAGAAATCTTGGAATATGCTTAAACATCTTTTTGGGGGGAACAGCTATCAGAGCATTTCTCTGAGGAAATGTCTTGGTTAAGACCTGAAGGTTTCCTGGTAGCACAATTACACCCAGGGCTTAAAATGCCCTGCACACCCCCTTTCCTTGCCTTTTTTTCTGTTCCTCTGTAGCCCCTTTTCCATGTTTGTTTTTCCACTGCAAGAAAGGCCTGTGAACAAAGGTGACCTATATTTTTCTATACTTGGCTGATTTGTTCCTACATGGGTGGTCAGCGAATCTAACACTTACATGCATTTCTTGCTCTGTATACCTTACTAAGAAAGAAGGTTAATGCTGTGGCATAGCAGGGACAGCGGCTGTCCATGATGCCGTCATGCCCTAAGAAGCATCAGTTCAAGTCTGGACTGCCCCACTTCTGGCCTCGTTCCCTGCTAATGTGCCTGGGAAAGCAGCAAAATACAGTGTAAATGCTTGGGCAACTGCTTCCATGTTAGGAATTTCGAAGAAGCTCCTGGCTTCTGGCTTCAGACTGACTGGCTCAGCTCTGGCTATTGTGGCCACTTAGGCAGTGAACCAGCAGATGAAAGGTTTCTCTCTGTCACTATGCCTTTTAAATACACAAACCTTATAAAACAAAAAATCTAATATATTCTAAGAAGTCAAACCCTTTCCATCTTCACTTCCTTACAAGTTCCCAAAAAACAGAAACAGAGGCCACAGAATTTTCACTCACCAAGGATTAGCAGCACCCCGAAAAAGTTTTTTCTCTGGGTTTTCGCTTCCTTAACATTACAGTAGAGGTGGCCAAACTACTCAGGCTTTGAGCTGGAACTTTGAAAAGGATTTTATCTTAAAAAATAAACTACTTCTTAGACTACTTTAAACTTGATATGACTACAGTGAAAGTTCCATACACCCTGCAATCGCTTCTTCTATTATTAACATCTTTTATGTGGTGGTTTCCATGATCAAATCAAGATTGATAATTATTTCCAACTAAAGCCCACAGGTTATTCGAATTTACTTCCCTTTTTTACTTCAAGCACTTTTTTTTCCTGTTGTACAAACCCAGCCAGGAGACCTCACAATCATCATGACACTTTGGGGGATTATGACAAATATTTCAGATTTTCCTTATTTTGATGACCTTGGCATTTTGAAGAAGTACAGTGAGAGCTTCTGAAGGTTGTCACTTTGTCGGGGTTGATGTTTTTCTAGTTTTTGAGAGGAAGACCATAGGAATACCATTTGTATATGCTACAGCTGTCATTGTTGAGCAGGACTCTGGTCACCCAGCTGAGGCAGTGTTTGTGAGGATTTGCTGCTTCAAAGTTAATCTTCAGAACAAAGTCACCAGGTGCCCTTCATTAGCACAAAGCAGCTATATCAAAGTTACTTAAATTCTGTAAGATTTTCCTTGTATTACATTTACTGATATATTTTAGATTTATATTACATTACGATGTATTATTTACATTACGTTAGGATGGAATGATGACTAGATCTTTCTTACTCTGGGTTATAAGCCTTATTTCCTTGCGCTCCGTTTAGCTTTGGCCTTGGGCGCTCTCGGGAAGGATTCCTGTGGCCCTGACAATCCCCATTGCGCATGTTCTCTCCTTCTGGAGCACTTTCTTTAGTTTCCTTTTGCTGGATAATAGTGTTAGAAACCAAGGCCTAAGGTGCTTATTGCTACTAGGGTTGGTGACTCTCCTGGTCCTTTTATGAGTCTGAGGAAATCCGTTGCCTAGGAACCTAAGTCTGCACATGCTCTATGGATAGTTCTGCCGGCATCTCTGAGACTGCCAGTCCAACTCTAACACCTGACCACACGGATAACTCCAGCCCGTTCCCCAAAGAGAGCTCTTGAATAACCCTAACAGTGCCAGCCCTGCTTCAGCGCAAGGCTGATTTTTCCCATGACTTTTCTATTACCCATGGCTCCAGGATTATCTGACACAGAAAAAGGTCCTGGCACTGGAAGACAGGGCATGGGTCCAGATCAGTGTCTCAGGCTAGCTACTTCGCTCCTCCACAGGTTAGGATCATTGACCTAACTCGCGTAACTTCTCGAGAAATTTTCCATTAAATCCTCTAAGACTACAAATAGTCAAAAAGTTGGTGAAAAACCCTCAGTTTTAGAATCCCACTGTTCCGCATTGTTTTGGCAGCCCAGGTGCCTTCATGGAGCGCCGCCTCTGAAGGACCAAGCAATGCATCTTCCTGGATCTGCTTTGCGTGGCCGGCTTATGCTCATCAACTAGATATCAGATTTCTGCGAGTTACTTTTGAGGCCAAAAGAGTTGAACTGGCTCACAGAAACATACACACACACCCCCGAGCTTCACGGGCGTCCACATGGACCGCCGCGTAAACATATTGCCACAAGCAAGACCTGAAGAACAGCCTGAGGAGATAAAAGCGGTTGCGCGCATTTTCTTAAAACTCCCACGTCCACCCTCGTTTCACTTTTCCCAAAGAGAAAAAATGCCAAGTTGACCAGGGACTCGAGCCGCTGGATGGGCTCCAGCGCGGGAAAGCGGCCTCCGCCGCCGCCCCCGGCCGCTCGGCGCTCACCCTCGGCGCTGTCGCGGGTCCTGTGGAAGTCCTGGGAGCGGCCGTCACGGAAGGCCCGGCAGAGAGACAGGCATAGGAAATCGAGCATCCAGCCGGCAGCCACGGCCTCCGCCTCGGCCACCAGGCCCGCGTCCTCCTCCTCCTCAGAAAGCTCCGCCTGCACCTCGCACCCGATCAGTTCCTGGCACACGAAGTCCTCCTGGTGGCCTTTCGCTGTTTCTGGGGTCCGCTCCTCCGGGAAGTCGGCATCCCGGCCGTCGGCGTAGCCCCGCGGGCTCGAAACCCCGGGGGAGGAGTCCTCCGCCATGTTAAATCGCTCGCGCCGATTCCGTCCCGGCGACTGCCAAGCGACGATTGGCTCGCGCAGCGATAGCGGGGAGCCCGCCAATCACAGTGCGGCGATGGGCGAGAGGCCGGAGCGTGGCTTGTGATTGGCTGACGCCAGCTCCGTCTCTGGAGCCTGAGTTTCCCGCCGGGTCATCCCTGACAAGGCGCGGACTGAGAGGAGGATGTCCTGGACTCCTTTATTCACCCTTTAAAGTGCAACTTTGACTGGAAACAGCATTTTTGGTATAGTAAAAACATGTTTACGATAATTGCGACTTCTCACCGTTACTCAACAGTGTTAGAGCCTAATGATTCATCCAGCCCACCGATGAGCATAAGCTCAAATTGTTCTTTTGCAGTAACCCAGAATCACCTGGGAACTTGTTCAAACAAGCCAGGGAGGCGTTGTAGTCCGGTAGAGCTGCTCCGCTTCCCTGATAGTGGCTTAGCAAAGCAGTGGGAGCTGGCGGGAACTGCTCAGACCTCTGAAGCCACCTGGGGAAACCCAAATGGAGTTGGAGGCACAGCTGCAGTTCCTGGGTTTGGCCTGGATATACTCCCAGCCATTGTGTCCAGTGTCTGAGAAGGCCACTGGGTGGTGCGGAGTCTGGGGACCACATTTTGACAACTACTATAGATGAGAGTATGTTACTATGGTGTTTTCCCATCAAGATCATAGGTTACAATGCATTTCAGACATTATTTTGTGTGACAGTATTAAGTGACTGCTTACATTGAATTTGAAACTTTGTGCACAAGAGCTACTGGATGAACTTGGGACGGCTGTTCCCTGCTTGTGACATCCGGGAAACCAGTGGTGTTGGCTCAAGCTGTTGGGTCTCTCCCTTCTTGAAGACAGATCAACTTTTGCAGGCATTTGGGGAGTGAACCAGAAGATGGGAAATCCCTGTCTCTGCCTTTTGAATAAACTAAAGGCCAAGGGCCGGGAGGGGGAGGAGAGACGGAGCTATCCCCCGTGTACTCTGCTAGCCATCTGCAAACCTGCCCCAGATCTACCTGCTCCTTGCAGGTGGGCTTCCAGGCTCAGCCCGACAGATACATTTATTTGTGTCTGTTTTCACAATTCATTAAGGCAGTTTCAATGCAGAGTGTTTGCTTTTCCTGGATAAGACAGGAAATTCTTTATATTCATAATTCCTAGAAGCATTTTCTTAGAAAATTCAAGTCTGGGTTAATTATGCACAAAGGGAAGTCTGGGCTAGTTCTGGAACCTTCTGCCCTGCAGCACCTACTCGTGAAGTAGAGTCAAACAAATAATGTTTGTTGTTTAGGCCACAAGGCCCATGATGTGTCTGTTGCAGCAGGTGAATGGCATCATTCAGGACAGCTAAAGTTTCCAAGCTGACACTTCCCACTGCAAAGTTTTCAAATGGGCTTTTCCTTTCTTTGCTTTTTCTTCCAGCTCCTAATACTCCTTTCTCGCCATTTCCAGGGGTTACTCTTAGGTAATTCAACCAAGTTCAAGTCACAAAATAGGCTAAGCATATATTCCTGACATAAAAATGTACTCGAAGAATTAGGGAAGTAAGCCTTTGTATGTCTCGAAGTCGATATGTGTGAAAAGTATATATTACTGATTAGGACTAAATCATAATCCTTAATAAAATTTCTTTTTTTTAATATAAAAGTTTATTTTCATTGGAAAATCAGATATACAAAGAGGAGGAAGGACAGAAAGATCTTCTGTCCTATGATTCACGCTCCAAGTGGCCACAATGGCTGGAGCTGTGCCAATCTGAGGCATCCTCAACTGCTTTCCCAGGCCACAGCAGGGAACAGGATGGGAAGTGGGGCAGCCAGGATTAGAATCAGTACCCATATGGGATCTGGGTGTGAGCAAGGCAAGAACTTTAGCCACTAGGCTATCACGCCGGGCCCTAAAATTTTCACTATAGGTACTGTATACTGTATTCTCTGTCCTCCTCCCTTATTGAAGGGTAAGTGAAAGAAATTTAAGACTCAGTAGACTATCCACTGGTAGAGGCATGAGCCAGAATAAGGGCCAGCAGGTTGGGCTTTACCACAGCATCAGTTAACAAGGGCTGGGATTAGGGACAAGTGCTGTCGAGCTAGATTGCACAACTACCTGGAGAGTTCAAGATCCAGGGTCCGTTGGAGGGGTTGTGGACGCCTATCTGATGGGTTGCACTCCCACTGGTAAGCATGAGAACCGAACTGGGGGCAGGCCTAGCTGCATAGGCGGTGGCTCCTGCTGGCATGAGTGTGGGTTGGAGGCTGGAGCCAGTTGGGTTGAGGTAGGCTTCAGTGCCCAATGATATATATGAGATCTCAATGGGATGTGGGACAGACCTGACCAGTCTACTAAATATGGTGGCAGGCACAGGAACCAGAGCCTAGGGGCAGTCCAATGGTAGCTGCTGCTCCGCCTGTGGTGGCTGAGGGCCAAGCATATGGTGGATAGGGTTGTGCTGGGCTCCAGCACCCATTGGTTTGCTGAGGATGGAGGGCAGAACAAATTGATCAACCAGCTCAAACTACCCAAACAAATTTGCTTGACAGTAAATTTCTGGGCCAGTGGAGACTCGGAGGCAGACTGTGACAGCCGATTGATCTCGGAAGGATTTCCTCATCCTTGGAGCAGTGCTATCAGTAGCATCTCAGAACTATTGAAAACACATGAACAGAGCCCTAAAACAAGTGCTCCACAGTGGGGACCCTGAGATGACATCGGGTTGCAGCTCCCTATCCCCTGGGTGCTGCGGTGGTTAGGAGGCTGGATGTGTTTTATCCCCTTTTATCCCCCCTCTTCCATGATTAGCTATGTAAACATCTTCAAAAATAAAATTTAAAAAATGTAAACATTATCAAAATTAAAAAAAAAAATCTTAGTGGCCTAAAAGGGGCAGGAGGGAACAAAAATTATTTCAAAATTTCTGTCCCTACAGTGTAATAGTCAATAATATACAATTTCATTGAGTTATGAGCCAAGACAGAAGCAGGACATCTTATAAAGAAGAAATCTAAGACATTCTTATAAACTGCCTGTTGGACCCAGCATGGTAGTGTAGTGGTTAAAGTCCTTGCCTTGCCAGGATCCCATATGGGTGCTGGTTCTAATCCTGACAGCCCTGCTTGCTCCCATCCAGCTCCCTGCTGTGGCCTGGGAAAACAGCCCAAAGCCTTGGGACCCTGCACCCATGTGGCAAACCTTGGAAGAGCTCCTGGCCTCTGGCTTTGGATTGGCTCAGCTGCAGCCATTGCAGCCAGGTGGGGAGTGAATCATTGGACTGAAAATCTTCCTCTCTGTCTTTCCTCCTCTGTATATCCGCCTTTCCAATAAAAATAAATAAATCTTTTTAAAAAAAAAAAAACTGCCTGCCAAGAATCTTCGTAGATGTATTCTTCTGCAATAAGTGCTTCAGTATGGCTATGATCTGAAAATTCAACTGTCATAAGAATAAAGCAGTTACAGTAGAACTTAAGAGTACAAAAAGTCTCAACATCATTATATCTTACCTTTTTTCATTTAAAGGTATGATAGATTAATCAAACACATGTCATTTCAGTAAGATGGTACAATTCACAGGCCTTATATCAAATGGGAAAAAAAAAAAGGCTTTTGGCAGAAAATTTACAATGTGCACCTGGTTCCTGGATTGATATCGGCCCAGCTCCACATACTGTGGTCTTCTGGGGAGGGAATCAGCAAATGGAAGATCTCTCTTTCTGTCCCTCCTCTCCATAACCTTGGGTCTACTCACTTGACAGGTAGCAAGTCAGTTACTGCCACTGGAATGGTGCAATGAAGTAGGAGTTTATTTTACACTACACAGAGCAAGGAGTTGGGTGGCTGTGAGCAGCTATTACTTGATTCCCAGACTCCCTAAGGGATCACGGTGATGATTCCTATAGATTAAATTTAAGGTGCAGCAGAGTGGGATCAGCCTGTATGACAGTCTCTGGCTGGTCCACTGTGATCACAGCCATTCATTGATTAGTCTGCAATAGGAAGCAGGTGAGTTTCTCTGAAACTACCCTGATAGCCAAGGCATTGTCCGTGGTCCACTGAAAGCTTGGTTATGACTTGGTTTGATCAGCACCTGGAGTTCCCGGGAAGCTTCTCAAGACAGAGTCTAGCATTAGAATCTTAACTGGCAGGGTAATTTTGTGCCTTTAGGATTCAAACCCGACACTTGCACCACTCCCTTAATGTAGTGCATCAGCCTTTAGTAAGGAGGTGACTTGCAAACATCCAAGTGAGGCAGAGAAACTGCAAGGGGAGGGAGACTGAAACCTGGTAAAATCCACATCAAAGGAATTAAGGCTGAGGACTCGGCTTCAACACCAAGGACTGAAGGAATGCTCCAAGTTACAATGAAACAGATTCCAGGAAGGGAAACAGTGTGTTAAGTCATTTAAACTTTTTGTAGTTTTTAATGTATTTAAAGAAGATGTTTGTGGTCACTGAGATATTTTTAGTTTTTTTTTTTTTCAGAAGATGTGTTTATTTCAAAAGGATGTTGTAGAGATGGGGCTGACACAGTGGCTCAACAGGCTAATACTCCACCTTGCAATGCTGGCATTCCACATGGGTGCTGGTTTGTGTACTGGCTGCTCCACTTCCAATCCAGCTCTCTGCTTATGACAGTGGAAGATGGTCTAAGTCCTTGAGTCCCTGCATTCACATAGGAGACTCAGAGGAAGCTCCTGGTTCCCAGCTTTGGATCAACTCAAATCTGGCCATTGCAGTTGTTCAGGAAGTAAACCAGAGAATGGAAGACCTCTCTTTCTCTGTAAAATCAGCATTTCAAAATAAAAATTAATAAATCTTAAAAAAAAACAAACAGAGTTGGAGGGAGGAAGGAAGAATCTTCCATCTACTAGTTTACTTCCTAAATGTCCTTGTTTAAGCTAGAAGCCAGGAGTCTGGAATTCATATGGGTCTTTCATGTGGGTGGTGGAGGCCCAAGCACTTGGGCCATCTTCTGCTGCCTTTCC